GTTACTCCAGTAACAATCTATAGCAAACTTAACGTTGTCTTTAACATCATATCCTTTACCTTTTATCATTCCTGACCAATCCCAATATCTATGCTTATGCCAACCTGCTTGAGATGTACTTAAATCTATGTAGTGACTATGCGCAGGTAAGTTTTCACCTGAAATCGTTTTACTTCCACCTGTTTCCTTTGAAGAGTTTGCACAATACAAAAACCTGTCGACTATTTGAGTCCAAGTTCCAAAACCCAGAACTGTTTCTGGTCTGGTAGAGTTCATTGACGTATAAATAGAACCTATAGGATATGTGTTTGAAGTATTTCTGTCTTTAATGTTTGAAGCTCTGTTTTGTCTGCTTTCTTATATAACTTTTCTTCAAGTTCATTTACGTCAGAAATGTTATGTCTATGATATTTTTGTGGGTATGTTCCTTCTGTCCATGTGAAAATATACTCTTTTGTTGCATCTACATATCCTTTTATCCATTTCGAGTCTGCTTTTGTATTCCTTAACTCTGTAACACCTTTCTCAAGCTCTTTCAACTGTTGTCCATCTTCCATTAAACCTCTGGTATGACTTGAAACCGTTTGTGCCAACATATCTACAGTTTCTTTGTCGGCTTTAAGGTCTAAACACCCTGAAACCCACCCTGTATTGGCTTTACCTTCTAAAATCTTTGTTGTCCGTTCATGGTACCATTCAACCATTTTTTTAATTTCTTCATCTTTTTCATCCACATATTCCTTATCTGCCTTCTTCACTAACGCACTAGCCATACGTGCTAACTCATCGTCAACATACTCTTTGTCAGCTTTGTTGTCAATATCTGCTTTCAAAAGAAGTTCATCTATAGGTTTCTCGTTTAAAGTTCTTTTTGTTGGATTTATACAAACAGTATGGTTCTTGTTGTCTTGAAACAGAAACTCATCTGTCATTGGGTTTAATGTCAGTTTTAAGTTTCCTTCTTTCAATGACTCAGATATCTTAGAATAGTTTGAAAAGTTTGTTGTGTTCTTATTTAGAGCTTGCAAAATGAGTTGTCGGTTGTGTTGTATTTCTCTCATAGACGCTGTTTCATTTGACATTTTTATTCTAGATAAAATATGCTTCCAATAGAAAAAGAAAATTCAAGAGTTGCTACAACTAAACCATTAGATGAACTTTTTACTAATGTCGGTCAAAAGTTTGAGACAGAGACCGTAAAGCATGAAGGCTATCGTTTTGACTACCCATTAAGATGGCTAAGAGACCCATCTGTCACAAAAGCTATTGGCTTTCGTAGAATGAAGTTTGTGTCTGTAGAAGATAAAAGTTTTCCATTTATTGTAAGGTTTCATATAGATTATATATCTGAAGGGAAACGAAAAATGTGGGAAGAAATTGAGCTAATACAAGTTGACCTTTCATCTTCTCTACAGACTGCGTTAAAAAATATAGAAGATAAAATAAATTCATGTTATGCAAAATATGCTGATGAATATGCAAATACCGAGAGCACACTTTATGTGAGAATTGTATATGACAAACAAAATTCACAAGTGTCATTTCAAATCTACGAAGACAATCCAAAGAAAGACGAACAAATATATACAGAATTCACTGCAATGTCATGGTATTATTTGCAAAGAATGTTAAATCAGAAAGTCGAACTTCCTTTAGCAAATATTTACAGTCGATATGCAAGAGATGAACCATATTTATTAAAGATGTTTTCGACCCAGCTGCTATTATTGTTCATGCTTCATTTTCTGGCGCCCAAAACTCTTTCTTATGCTTGGCAAATGACTTTTACGAAAAACCTACAAAGTTATACGAACCACCAAGTGGAAGTATTTCAGACTTTCAAGTATGGTTTACTACAGATGGAAGAAAAAGAATAATTCCATTATACCATGCGTTTTACTTAGAACTTAGTTTCATATACAACTACTATCGAACGGTAAAAATATAATTTTTTAATACGGTTGAGGTGTTGGATTTGGTTGCCAACTAGACTGTGGTGCAGGTTCAGGCTGTTGTATAACAGGAGCTTGTTCTTCTGGTTCAGGGTCTTTAGGTATAATACCAACAAACTGACCTACCCTTTACCAATATTTTTGACACCGTTCCAAATTCCTCTTCCTACGGTTTTTATTCCATTCCATATACCTCTTCCAACATTTCGAAAGAAGTTTCCTATCTTACTGAGAAACCCATTTTACTATATGTAAAAATCTAATGTCCGCCTAGTCTCTTACGTTTCCTGTTGAGTTCCATAGCATTCTTTAACTGGAGCTCATACATTCTGTTTCTCCTCTGGTAGAAAAACATATTCTGGGTCAACTCCTGTGTTCGCGTCATCTGCATAAAGTTGTTTATATCCCACTTCAGGGTTTGTATAAAACTCTTTCCATCTCATATTTGCATACCATGGTGGCAAACCTAACGCAGCGTCATTTGACATGGCAGTTTGCATTTGTACATCTGTTGGCACTTGACCATAGTTTGCCATTGCAGTTTGTATTCTAACTTCATTTGGAATATTCTCTGGTTTGGTTGTCCAGGTTGCTGTGCATTCGCTAAGTTCTGTGCGTCCATTTAATATTAGATAAAAATATCTCTTACGAGTACATATACTGAACATTTGCAGGCATTGGTTCATCTTCATATTCTCTGTACTTTTCTGCCACGTCAAATAAATAAATGACACAATGGAAAAAACCTAAAACAAGTAGTCCTATTTCAAACCACATTTACTTACTAATAAAATTTCTTTGTTATGACACTTTCTCCAGTTTATAGGACCTCTCTCATATTCTATCTTATCGTATCTAAACTCATAGTCATGTATGTCCTCTAACCATCTCATGACACTTTCCAAACCACTTTTATCGGATGTAAAGTAAAAGCATGGATGGTTTATGTAAAACGTCTAAAGTTTCTAAAGAGTCTCTCAAAGTCCAGTCTACTTGGTATTGAAAATCCCATGTGTTAAAGAACGGCGGGTCTACTATAAAGAAAACATTTTCCTTGTCTTTATATTTTTCATACAAATCTGTCCAATGACATCTCACAAACTCTATACCCTCAATATATTTTTCTATGTCCTCTTTGAAAACATTTGTATAGTTAAGATATAAAACTTTTGACATAAGTGTTTCAATGTCATGAACTCTTATAGCACCACTATATAATAGTCTAGCAGATATACTATCCCAGTCAATATACTCTGCCTTTTTCAAAACCTCTCTGACAGTATTTTTCTTATCTAATGGTATACGTTCCATCTTACCTATAGGTATCTTTTCTTTTAACTCACTCAATATTTTGTTTGTGTCTGGTATATGTTTGAGACGGTCCATATAGTTGTCGAAGTCATTGCATATAATCTTTGAGTCTGGGAATATTGTATGGCACAAATGGGATATATAGAAACTTCCACCGAACAAGTCTACAAATGTTAGACCATTCGGTAGTTTCTTAAGTTCTCTCAATAGAATATCTTTACATCTACTCTTATTTCCAAAGAAGGGTAACGGTGGTTTTGTAAAATTCATTTTATATATATATAATAAAAATGTTTTTACCTGAAAAGTGACAGAAAAGTGACAAAACATGAAAACATATATATTTTGTGAAAAGCTCCTGGAAGACCCGTATATAAGAACTTCATTTATACTAAACATCTTCGGGGCTAGAGGGCACGAAGTGCCTGGAAGCCCCACTACCTTTTTTTTTTTTTTTTTTTTTTTTTTTTTTTTTTTTTTTTTTTTTTTTTTTTTTTTACAAATCTCATATAAATTATTTACAAGGATATCTGCGATACCTTCATTTTCAAGTTTCTCAGTCGTATATTTCATAAGGTATTTTAAAAGAATAATAGCATTTTCTTTTTCAATGTCGTCATGTGGATTAACAATGATGTCAAGTAAAATCATGATATTTTCGTCGCTTGATAATTTATTTTTAGGATTAAATGCTGTAAATGTATTGCTCGCTCCATGTGATAATATATAAATTGTAATATCTCGTATTTGTGGCTGTTGTATCCATATTTCTTTTTCTTTTAGAAATTGCCATAATAATTCAGCTTGAGCAGATCCAAAACACGCGGATGTATACTGTCTCCACTCATCATTGACAATATTAATGATCCTTTGCAAATTTTCCAAGATAATTTCAGGTCGATGGTGAAAGTTTAGCAATATATGAAGGAAGAGATTTGAAACTCTTGCTCTTATTCAGGAAAATTGATAAAAGCGATTGTGCTCATCCTGATCGTATGGTTTTGGCATTGATCAAATGAATGGAATTTGGAAAAATTAATTTTTTATTTTTCCAGAAAAAAATTTCAGGGACTACTGTATTTTTTGAGAGACTCAGAAAAATTGAGAGACAAATTGTGATTTATCGTTTTCCCCACAAATATTTTGCCACCCCTCAGATTGATATTTTTCGATTCTCACCAATATACACATCTTTTTCTATGATGCTTTAGCGTCCTAAATAAACGTTTATATCATAATTTAAAAAAGAAAATTCATAAATTGAAAGTTTTACTTTCTTATTTCAAAATGTGAGTAAGCTTATGAATTTATCGTTCCCCATTACGTAATGGTGACTAAGATTTTGCTTGAATTTTCAGTCTTCAGAATTAATTTTGTAAATATTAATATAAATTCTTTCTTTAGTTTGTCAATCGGTAACAAACATATGAATTAACATCAGAATAGTTTTTCTTAAAATAAACTTATTGATCACATTTTTGATTCCATCTGCAATTGGCTCAAGCATACATAGTTAAATAGCATCAAATTTTGAACATTGCATGGATTTTTATGAGTCTCAAAAGGCAGTAAAGTCTGATCTTTGATTGTTTTGATTTCTTCAACAATTTCAATAGTTTTTTTTTGTCTTGAGTAATAATACACATATGAGAACTCGTGGATGGGTTGGAACATATTTTGTTGAACTTTTTAAAATTGCAAAAGTGTCAAAAAATTTTGGAAACAATTCCATAAAAAATGTTTGAGAGAGAGACGGATGCCGTTTGTTTTAAGATTTCTCTCTTGTATTCAGTTTTAATAGCTATTATTGGATGCTATATTATCATAGAAGGATACACTGGAATAGCTTGTATTCTAATCATAATCTTGTATCAGCGAAGAGTTGAAAAGCTTAAAAGGAAAATAGCCGAAACAGCAAAAGGAATTATAAAGTATCCTTCTCTCTTTGATATGTTAGATTCATTTATGATCCTTGAATTTGCTTCTCTAGTTTGGGGTTGGTTTTTACTTATTTATTATACATATATCCATTTTAACACCTTTTCTTTTCTTGACGGTCTTAGAGCTTCATTATTATTTTCATTCTTATGTTTCTTCATGTTAGTCATGATTCAACAGATATATATTTCATTTTTGTTCACAGCTAGCATTGGGAACGGTTTCTTTTTATTTTCGATTTTGCCTAGATTTGTTTCAGCGACAAGAACAGTTTGTACAACTTTCTTTTGGATTGTAGCACTTAACCATTTCGAGTTTTATTCGCCGCTTTTGCTTGAAATCGCTTATATTATCTTTAAAGGCTGTTTCTTTATATATTGGATCTACGAAGCAACAGCTCTTCTCACGTCAAAAGATTTTCCAGAAGAATTCAAAACAAATGAATGCACACAACCTTTCCAATGCCCTGTTTGTTTGGAAAACGTCAAATTCTATATAACCTTACCATGCTCCCACAGTTTCTGTTTGACATGCTTCCTTAGATGGGGTGCACAAGTCTTGAATTGCCCGATGTGCAGACATAAGTTCACTTCATGGATTCACCAAGTTGACTTTACGCCATATAACTGGCTTCCTTTTGTTATTTTCTAAAATTGATTGTTTTTTTATATTTATTATTATCATTTTGTTTAATCATGAATAAATCTCTTATTTATACATAAACAACTATCGAAAAATCATTGGTCTATGAAAGATATAGTTTAAGACCGATAAATTGGGAACTCTTACGATCAAATTCTTTATGAAATAAAATCTTATATATATAGTCGTATAGCTTGATAGAAAATATTTGTTCACACAAGGAATGGGTATGTTTTATCATCTCAAAACGTTTGTTCGATGACATACCAAATCAAATATAACAAAATTCTATGATAATGGGTTCGTTTCATACAAAATTGCACAGACATATATATGTCTTGTAGAAAAATAGCCATCAAATTTCAATAGTTAAGTTAGATCTCTATTCTATGATCCAAAACAGAGCAAAATAAAAAAATTCGCTGTGAAACAAAAAATTCTCGATTGTCATGTCACTTTTGATTTTGACAAAAATGATATTTCTGTTTTCTATCTTAAGCTTATCTGTTTTTGTTCCATTATCAAAGACATATTCAGCTTCGATTCAAACATTATCACTTGATGAGGTCAAATCAAACTCACAACTTACACATTTGACTCATTTCGCATTATTTATCAACGAGAAGAGCAAACAGCGCAAGAATTTAACTCAAAAAGTTGATCAAGCATCTATCCTTCATGATAATGTAGTTTTCAGCTATCTTACTGAAAAATCAATTGAAAATTACACAAAAGAACTTGAATATTCTCCCCATTTATTCTTGGTCGTTAAGGAAGGAAATGTAGAGAATGTTTTCCCAATCAATGATGAAGAAGAGAGCATTTTCCCAATGTTTGATTTCTTTTCAGAAACTAAGCATCATTTGTTCACAGAAGAGACAGAACTTCTTGAATATCTTGGAAAAGCCCCATTTTCCATCATTACAACACAAGAAAACTTTGAGCGAGCTCAGCAAATTCAAAAGGATGTTGCTGCACAAATGGGCTACGTAGAATTGCTTCTTACAACTCAGCAGATCTTAGCTACAGTTGCTGAGAACCAAACAGCCATTTTTGGCCTTTACAGAAGAGAAGATGGTTTTATTGTAAATATAATCGACGACATTGAAGAAATTTACCAAGCAACATATCCAGTTTACAGAATGTTACGAAAGGATGACCTCGAAACCGAGGCCCAGCCAATTTTCGCCATAGCTCCAGGCGAATTAACCGAAATTGTCCAAGAACTCCTTATAGAACTTGGCGCATCATTCCCAGAGATCGTTGTTGGCTACGCCACACAAGAAATCATGACCACCCTCTCAAAAACAGCTCCAATTCTCGATACAAAGATTAAAATCGCATTTACCAACCCAAGAGAGCTTTACTACTACAACATTTCGGGATTATACCCAACAGAACTCCTCGAAAATGACTTCAATGCCGATGAATTCTACAGAATTACGAAAGATCTCTTCGAAAGAGCTGTTAACGGCGAAATTGTTCCAGAATACCAGAGCGAAGATATTCCAGAATACGATGAAGTATTCCAGAAAGTTGTAGGAAAGAATTATCTCGATTTTATTTCAAATACAACTTCCGAATCTTTGATTTTGTACATGAAACCAACATGCCCGCACTGCAGAGCCATCATGCCAGTTATTACAGAGTTGGCAACAGCTTTACATGATGCAAAAGCCAACATCAGAGTTGGATACATCGACATTTCGAGAAATGGCTGCTCTGAAGGATTTCCAAGCATGAGAGGTGTTCCAACATTATATTTGTTCAAGGATGGCGGCAAGAACAAGACACAACTCTACTGCCAGAGAACAAAGGACGAATACATCAGAAATCTCAAGATCATTTCCGACCAAAAGATCGATATTGAGACAGTAATGCCTGATTCAACAGAGTTGGCCAACCATCTCTTGACAATCATCATGTCCCTCGATGAAGAAAACCCTGTTCCTGACGAAGAGAAAGAAGCTTTCCAGAACTACTTGGAGAGAGAATCAAACTTGCTGCAATCAATGTCTAACTCAACAGAAACAAATGAAACTCAACAAAATGATGAGAAACAAGAATTATAAAAAAGTAATTTTTTTAGGCTGCACTTACGCCCATCTGACTTTAATTCAAATTTTTAACAACTGACGTGAAGCGCTTCATTGAAATTTAACCTTAAACATCTGAATTGAATGCCCTGTCATAGGGGTGTAAGTGCACCCTTAATTAATTAATCAACTCTTTTTAATGAAGATATCACTATCTATTCCTCATAAAACTATTACATCCTTTCTTTTTTGTCTGTTTATAGCATTCAAAGTGATTGATTATTCACCCATTACTTGCTAATTTGAATTAAAGTTCCTCGCATATTACCTATAAATTTTGATAACAAAATATTAGGAGACTTTGGGCCTCTCTATCTTGCCATCAGAAGACTTTAAGAGAAAACAGTATATAGCAATATGCACTCACATAGATTGGTTCGTATTGCGAATATAGTTTTATTGAATGAATGCAATTATCTATCCTTGTACAAAGTAATTTTTGAGCCCACAATACTTGTTCATGTGGAACTTAAAGAGTATTTTTCTTCTTGAACAAATGCTTACACGATGAAGTATATATATAGAAAATGACAATTTCTCATTCAAATAGATAAGAAATTGATATTTGATATTTCTTCTTTTTCATTCATATTGATCAAAAATTATCTTAGTGTTCATGAAATTAGAGTAAGTTTTGCAATAATCACAAAACAAAATTAAATAAAATATTCAATTTTTAAATATTTTGAGAAAAGAATAGAAAAAGAAAGTAAAATTGTATACAAGTAGAGAATTTAAATGAACTAATTATAGATTCAATTGAATCCATTTCTATATTTATGTTGGAAATTTACTCTTCATCTTCTTCGTTGATGTGGAAGACTTTGTGGTGTGGGAATCCGTTGAAGAATGATGTTGGAGAGTAAGTGTAAGCGCCGAACTTCTCGATTGTAAGGTAATCACCAACTTCGAGTCTTGGCCATAAGAGTTCTTCGTAGACGAGGTCAGCGGAGTCGCATGTTTGTCCCCAAAGTGTTGTCTTGACTCTTTCGCCGTCAGCAGCTCCTTCTGTTCTGATTAAGAAGTGTGGCTCAGCGTGGTCGTAGTTGAGAGCGTTGAAAGCGCCGTAGATACCTTCTGCCATGAAGACAGACTGTTCTTCACCATCTTCGTGGTGGTCCTTGACGGAGATGACTGGAATAACAAGATCCATGAAATCAGAAGCAATGAAGCGGCCTGGCTCAGCGAGGAACTCGATCTCATCACCATCGAATAGTTCGTCGATAGCTGTATTGATAGCTTCAGCGATTTCGGCAAATGTGTATTTGGCTTTGACTGATGGTGGAAGGAAGCCGCCGCCGATATCAACGAATGAAACGTTAAGGCCGATCTGTTCAGCCTTAGCCTTCAATTCGGCTACGTATTCAAGAGCGACGCGGAAAGTTGTGATATCATCGCAAAGTGAGCCAACGTGGAATGAGAAGCCGATGAAGTTAGCGCCTAACTCTGATGCGAGCTGCATGAGTTTCGGAACATCCTTTGGATCAGCGCCGAACTTGTTGGAGAGCTGAATCTTGGCGTGTGTGAAACGTGGCTTGATACGAAGGAAGACTTCAGCTTCTGGGTAGTAGCGTAAGATCTTACGAAGCTCTTCTTCAGAGTCGTAAACTAAACGAGTAACTCCGTGCTCCTTAGCGTATTTGATTGATGCGATGCTCTTGATTGGGTGAGCGAAGACAATACGGTTTGCATCAACGCCTAATGCAAGAATTCTCTGGACTTCATCTTGGGAAGCGCAATCGTAGCCAACACCACGGTCAGCAAGGAATTTGAGAAGCTCTGGCTCATCGCAGCACTTCATAGCGTAGTGGATGTGAACTCTGTTTAAGTTTTCTTCCCATAAGGCAAGGCAATGACGAACGCGATTGAAATCAGCGACCCAAAATGACTGATCATTGTCGATCTGGTCCATGCACTTCTGAATAACTTCATTCTCATTCTTGATGATGGTGAAGTTGTCGTGTGGTGCGACGTGATGCATTTTTGTGTTAAAGGTCTGACTATTTTTCTAAGAGTTTTTCTGGATATCAAAAATCTTCGCAAAATTTCTTGATAAATATGATATAATGTCATGTGTGCGTAAGAATTTCCAATTTGGCTCTAAAAAAGACGATGAAAAGACGATGCATGTAAAGTTGTAAACTTTGATTGGATTTTTTCAATAGCTTTTTCACGATAGGAACATCGTTTTTATACAATTCAATCCTGTGAGATTTCGGAAAATTAGAGCAAAGCTGATGGTTGAGATTTGAATTGTATAGAAGGCTATCATTTGATGGTTATTACTATATAGATTTGATCAAATATCTTCAATTAATTTATTAATTTCAATCTCAAAATATTGATAATTTGTTAAAAAAACTAACTCAAATAAAAATAATATAACTTATATTTATAAATATATAAAATCATAAAAAATTAATGTTTTCTATTTCGGGATCTTGTGTTTCTTGTTTCATTGAATCCCGTGTTTTGCTGCTGGTTAGGCATTCCAAACTGATTCTGTTGCTGCTGATTTGGTACACCAAATTGGTTCTGCTGTGGAATTAGTTGCTGTTGATTTAGCATTCCAAATTGGTTTGACATTTCAAGCTGGTTTTGTTGCGGAATCTGCTGTTGTTGATTTGGCATTCCAAATTGGTTTGGCATTCCAAATTGGTTCTGTTGCAGAATCTGTTGCTGCTGGTTTTGCATTCCAAATTGGTTTGGAATTGCATATTGTTGTTGAATTGGAGTTCCATATTGATATGTTGATTGCGCAGGATATTGCGTTGGATTTTGGACTTGCATTGCAAGTTGTGACATATTATTCATCATCATAAATTGTCTCTGCATATCAGGAGGGAGCTGGCTTAATTGTTGAATTATAGAGTAAAACGGGTTAAATCCTTGCTGCTGTTCAGGAGACATTTTCATTCCTTGTTGTTGTTGCTGAGGAGGCATTTGAATTCCTTATTGTTGCTGCTGAGGAGGCATTTGCATTCCTTGTTGTTGTTGCTGAGGAGGCATTTGAATTCCTTGTTGTTGCTGCTGAGGAGGAGGCATTTGCATTCCTTGTTGTTGCTGCTGAGGAGGCATTTGCATTCCTTGTTGTTGTTGCTGAGGAGGCATTTGCATTCCTTGTTGTTGTTGCTGAGGAGGCATTTGAATTCCTTGTTGTTGCTGCTGAGGAGGAGGCATTTGAATTCCTTGTTGTTGTTGCTGAGGAGGCATTTGAATTCCTTGTTGTTGCTGCTGAGGAGGAGGCATTTGCATTCCTTGTTGTTGCTGCTGAGGAGGCATTTGCATTCCTTGTTGTTGCTGCTGAGGAGGCATTTGCATTCCTTGTTGTTGCTGCTGAGGAGGCATTTGCATTCCTTGTTGTTGCTGCTGAGGAGGCATTTGCATTCCTTGTTGTTGCTGCTGAGGTGGCATTTGCATTCCTTGTTGTTGCTGCTGAGGTGGCATTTGCATTCCTTGTTGCTGTTGCTGAGGAATCATTTGAATTCCTTGTTGTTGTTGCTGAGGAATCATTTGCATTCCTTGTTGTTGCTGCTGAGGAGGAGGCATTTGCATTCCTTGTTGTTGCTGCTGAGGAGGCATTTGCATTCCTTGTTGTTGTTGCTGAGGAATCATTTGCATTCCTTGTTGTTGTTGCTGAGGAGGCATTTGTATTCCTTGCATTCCTTGTTGCTGCTGGTTTGATTGAACAAAATACTGATTTGCAGTTTGTATATTAGCAGGTGCTGGTGGAATTGATTCCATATTTATCATTCGTGTCATCTTTTGTTCTTTGACTTTTTGGTCAATAGCTTTTATATCATTACGGTGAGAGTTAATTTCATCTTTGAACTTGTTCAATCCTTCTTCAGTAGTTTGAGTTTCGCTGACAACCTCAACAGGTGTGCTTTCTTGTGATTTTTCTTCATATTCGACCACTCCTGAAACAACTCTTTCTTTCTTTCTGCCTGATTTTTCATTCGGAATGCTCTTTGGTTGATCATTGATTTCCAATGAAATTTGTTCTCTCTTCTTTCTCTTTGGTAACTTTGCATCTGCTGCAAGAGTAATTTCTTTCACTTTTGATGTATTAAATGAAGCAACAGCAGTATCAACAATACTTGTTATCAAATCAGATACTGTTTGTCTTAGTTCTTGACCTGCATTGGCAAATGTTTCCTCAATTGACTTGAAATTCGAGCCACCTGCTTCTTCATAAATTCTCTTGAACCCTTTCATTCCTTGTTTAGCATTCCAATGAGTGTAGATGAAGCAAACATCAATTTTCTCTTCTGCAATTCTTCTGATTAATCTTTCGACTTTCGGACCTTCAGTGCGGTCAATTTCTTTATCTTCATCATCTCTATCCGGTTAGAATTAAATTTCTCTCCATGACCTCCAGCATCAGTAATCATAATCATAATCTTCTTTGCTTGGGGTTTCCAATGGAATTTGAACATTCCTTCGAAAGCTTGAACCCAATCTTCTGGACCATCTCCTGCGCCTCCATTTGTTTCGACTTTGTCGAATTCAACTGGGTTTATGCTTCCACCATGTTCCTTGAAATCAAATGGTGTTGCAACATTGTAGTCAACTGTTCCATGACCTGCTTCTTATGCCTATATAATTGTTCGGCCATGGCTGCATCTCTGAAGAAATTGGCAGAATATCTAACATTTAGATCGCTATATTTCTTCTTAGTGTATTCCATTAGTTTCTTGAAGATGCTCTTTGCACCTGTAATCATTGATCTTTCGTTTGCTTTTTCTTCGAATTCGTGAACCTTACCTCTTTCATTGTTCATTGATTTTGTTCCATCAACAACAAAACAAATATCAATATCTTGTCCACTTGAGAATGTATTGTATTGAACTTTAGATTTGTCAACATCTTTGATATTGAAATCGAACTTTTTTGCCTTCCATGTTGTTGCTCTCTTATAGTCATGAAGATTTCTTTCACGGCGTTCAACAGACAACAGCCAAACTGCGATGTTTCGGACAAATCTAAGGGTTCCTTCTTCATGAAGTTCGTTGAAGAATCGAGTGAAAGAACCATCGAGTATTATATCTCCAGCATCACTATTTAGTGGTGCCATGTAATACAAATTTGCATAGTTTCCACCTCTAGAGATAATGAATGGCTGGAATGGAGATATATCTGCATCTCCTGGGGCACATGAAATTGTTGTTCCTTCGTAAAGAGTCTTAACATTGAATCCGTATAGAGGGCGCTCACTTCCAGGAACTTTGATCATTGATCTTTTATCAAATAGTTGTGCATCATCACTGTCAATATCGCCAAATCTCAGCATGTTTTTACCAGGTTCATCCACACTAAATCTAAATTGTGGTTTCTTTCCATCAAGTTCTACTTTCTCTAAGAACTTGTTTAATTCGAATGTCAATGGATTGTTATCTCCAGCGATAAGGAGTGCGCCACCATTCTTGTTAAACTCAATTAGACAATCTATGAATTGGTCAATTAAATATGATGTTCCATCATTATTTAATTCATTTGGTTTCTTGTTTTCGCCACGACCACAGATAACCCAAGCTTGAGAATATTCTCCTGACATCAAGGCTTCGATTGAATCCTTGTAGTTCTGAACAATTGTGCACTTCATTCCCAGATCAGAAACAGCTTTGATAATGCCTTTAGGACCTTCAAGTGTTTTCTTTGAGATATATTCACTCTCTCCTTTTGTATTAGATGGCATCATGCAGTAATCCCAGAACTGGCAAATGAGAATTGTCTGCGCCCAGATCTTTCCTTTACCAAGATCTTTGATTTCATCTTGGTTTGCCAATTTCGATCTAATAGGAGCTGTATATTTCTTTGATGGAGCTGTATAAGATGAACCACCCTGAGTGGCTGTAGTTGCTGCTGTTGTTGTTGATGATGATGATGATGCCTGTGAACCTTCAGTTGTTGATCCATCCACATCTTCTGTTTCGATAATTCTGGTGGAAGCAGCTTCTTGGTTATAATAGGCTGAATAAGTTTCTTGTAATCTAATGATTTCATCGAGCTTCTTATAAATATCGGTATAGACATAGTTTCTATTGTTATCTTGAATTATATCTGTAAGTTTGTTGAAATCTTCTTCGAGAACTTTATCATCTATAAATGGAATGGTCTTTTCAGGGGAGAAGATACCTCTGAAAGCTTTCATAATTGCAATAGGAATAACAATTGGATTCATTGACCAGAAAGAGTACTTGAATCCAATAGCAATTTTGCTATGATCTAAGCCAATTCCAATTGAATAGACTGGTGTCTTTCTGCTTTCTAGCTGAGTTATAATTGTGCCAAGCGCTTTAAGTTCTTGTGAATTTAACATACAGTCAGTAAAGCAGAGACAAAGGGATTGCTTTGATTGCTGCTTAGCTCTGATATCATCAACACATGCAAGAGTTGAAATGATATCGGAGTTCATTGATGGTGAAGTGCAAATATTAACAATTGCACTCCAAACTGGGGAGCTTTCAACGAAAAGATCCGTATTAGAAACCTCATGACATATTTCGATTGTTTCGTTTCCTCTACTAATGAGAATTGTAACTGTATCAAAATCAACAATTCTAAGTGAGTTTAATGTGCAAATGATTGTCTGCAATGATTGATTGCAAGCATGTTCATTGAAACAGCTAATACTTGCGTCAATAACAACGAAAAGAGATTGAGAAAGAACGAAACCTGCGTTCTTTTCCAAATAAATCCTTTGTTCCTGTCCTTGCGTAACTAAGAATTGGATATAACCTTTGATGGATATGTTGCTTCCCTTAGTACTCTGAGAGAATTGAGTTGGCTTATTTGGTTCAAATGAATTCAAAATCTGGTTCTGAACTTTCTTTATTTGGCTCAATCCATCAAATGAAATTTCTTTTTGTTTCTTGCATCTGGTGATGAACTGAGTATCTTCAATTTGAGGGATATCAAAGATTTCATCTGGACTAAATTCAAGAGCTTCGTTGTATCTTGAACTGTATTTCTTCGAAGAAACATCAATATCTTTGAATTCAAAGTTTGCTTCATCACAAATTGTACATGTCTTGAAATCTGTAGTATGGTGGTGCGAAACTTTGTTATCGATCAATAATCCTTTGTTGATGATATCTGCTAAATCACCTGAACTTTTGAATGCTTTTTCAAGTCCTTTGATATAGCTTGCAAACATCATTGCATTCTTCTCATTGATCAATTTGAGAGAATTATCGATGTAATTCTTCATTGTTTCAAAATCTTCATCTTTTAAGACGGATAGAACAAGAAAATTAATTTTGATTCGCCTGTCTTTTAGAAGGTCTTGATATCCTTGAGTATCATGAAGATTGTAGAGAAGTCCATCAGTGATAACAAAAACTGTTGAAACATCATGGTTCTTAATCTTGGAAATTGCATCTCCAACATTTGAAATCTTTCTGAACACACTGAATGCATCAAGTGCAACTTGGATGTGCTCTCTCTTAAGGAGTTGTTTACTTGATTTCACAAAGAATTGGAATCTTGTATCACAGAAAACATAGAGATTTGTTGGGATATGGAGATTTTCAAATGCAATAGCCATCGAAACAAACATTGTGAAAACAGAATTCCTATGATTTGCTTCATTGATTGTACTGCTTGAATCTAACAAGATAGCAACTTCTTTGTTTCCAAGAGAGATCCCTGAGTTAATGAATTTGCGCATGATTGCAGATGCAAGAGGAAGAGCACATTTGATAATGCATTCTACTTTTGAAATATCCAGGTTTTGTCCGACTGTTTGAGATGTAGAATCTTCTCCTAACTCGTTTTCTGTCAGTCTTAGTTTAATCTCATTTGATGAAAATTTCATTGATTCAATTATATTCTTTTGGATATCATCTGTTGTAATATCAACCATAATTTTGGAAACAACTTTTCCAGTGTGAGAATCTTTTGTTTCAGAAAATTTTGTAGGTTTTTCTATGAAGACTTCTTTTTCTTCTTGAATCTTAGGTTTATCCGTTGTTTCAAGTTTTTCATCCTTCTTTTCAACATCCCATTTTGTATATACATTTGGTGGAATAGCAGTTGGAATAATGAAATAAGAGTTCGCGTTATTTTCGTTATTATACATAGAATTCTTAAGTTTTTGGAAGTATTCCATATACAATTTAGCAAGCTTTATTAACGGATTATTATGCATAGCTGATATAGATGTGCACCAATCATTTACATATACCAATTCATTAAAAAGTCGATCAGCATCATCTTTCTTTTCTTTTTCGAGTCCTTTTTCAATTATTTCACTTAAGAAAAATGGAAGATTTTGAGACAATATCATTGCGCTCTGAATCATTTCTATAAAAGACCCAATAGTTTTCATTCCAGGCCGTTTAACATCTTTAATCTCTCTTTCAATCAAAGAATTAAATTCAGAGTTGTTTTTAACAGGAGCACCTTTGTATTTGGTAATGATAGAGTCAACAACATTAGTCTTTTCATCATCAACCGATATAATCAATGATTTCGATTTGATGAAGTCTAAAACCTTTTTCATCAATATGTTTAATGGTGAATATTTGAAAACATTTTGCAATAGATATTGGTAGTCTTTTTCAGTTTTATCCTGTTTCGAGTATACAGGACTGTCTTTTAATATTTCACTCATTACACGAATGAATGAATTTCGTCTCTCAGGTGTGAATCCATTTACGATTCTTTGGAGATCCCTCTTAAATAGCTCATCGGTTGTGTTTAGTATTTCATTAATGGGATTCAAAGGTATATCTATTTGGCAGGATTTCCTGGTTTCAAAGATTAATTTAATATCGACATCAGTCCTGAGATGACCTTTTTGTTTGTTAAGAGCTTCCAAACGATGGTAAAATATGTCAACTATGTAATTCAATATATTTTTGGCTGCCAATGATTCATCGTAAGGCAACCTAATAAATTCCAAAATACTTTTCGTCATATATATCATATGATATATATTCTTTTGATGATTTGAGAAAAGTTGCTTTATTGCTTCTTTGTCATCAGTAAATGGGAACCAGCAATTTTGCCATTTCTTTTGAGCCTTATCTTTGCCTGTGGTTCTGATATCACTCTGACATAACCTACCACATACAATTTGATGGTCTTCTTTGAGGTCATTTTTATGAACTACATAGTATTTACCATTTCGATCAATAACAAAGTAAGAAAAGTTAAGAACATTTTTTTGGTATTGAATTTGATGATTCTCGTTGTAATGAATAGTCGTGTATTGATTTGGTTCATTGAGAGAATACACATTGTAACTGAATGGAGTAACAACATGATATGAGTCCTCTTCTTTCATCTTTGTATGATTATCAATTTCCAAAAATTTTTGTGAATCAAAAATGTAATACTTTCCGTTACAAATGGGAGCAGGAGATCTTTGAGGAACATCAAAATCAAAATTAATTTTAGGATTCGAGCCATTAATAGCAGTTTTTGTGAACCTAATATAACACGGGATTACAGTGATTTGTTTTTCAAAGATTAATTCAGCAAATTTAATTTTGATAAATAGCTTTTCAACTTTATCTTCACGATTATTGAAGCAAATAGCAAAAGGAATTTGATGAGCAATTTTATTTTTACCATCAGATTTAATTGAATGAATGTTTGTTTTAGTTCCAACTTTATCTCCGGCAAGCTTAAGATTAATGTTATCAGTACTTGTTGTAATTTCAACTTTTATTGAGTCATCTTCATTTGGAAGATATGTCATCAAGCTAAATGCGTAGTTGCAGAGTAAATCACCTGCCCAGATTTCAGTTGAATCATCAAATAACCCTTTGGAAATGTTCCATGTTTTGAAAATTATTGGTCTCTCAATAATTTCTGATCTGAATGGTATAGGAATTGGATTCATATTCGAAATATGAACGTAGACAATCATATCTGCGGAATCAACTTCCTTAAAGTAGAATATGGATTCACAAGTTTGTTCATTATATTCATATGTTGGTTTACATTTCTGTTTAGAAGAAGTTCCTTGCTGGAAAGTGAGAGTGTGAGGAATATTGTTTGTATTTCCATCTTCGACAGTAACTGAAATCTTTTCATTCTTAAATGTAACAGATTTAAAGAAGGAAGTAAATCCATCATTAATAAATTTGTTATCACCGGATTTTATGTAAATTGGAATATTACCCAAGGCAAATTTGATTTTGATTGGAATCTGCAAATTCATTACATTCAAAGTTGCTGTTAAAGTTGCATTTGAAACTGGTTTCGCTTTTATAATCAGTGAGTCATTATCATATTTAATCTGTATATCATCTGAATCTGCCAAGAAAATTTCTTCTTTAGGAATTTGTCCAACAATTGGAATTCTAATTGCGAATGGAGTTATAGCATATTGCGGAACATCAACAATTTCTACATCAATAGTTTTGAATGAACATGTTACGTCATCACCCTGAACTACCAAAATTGGGGTTATGAGCTGTTCAATTTTCAATTTGTTAAATTGAATTTGTAATTTCTTGATTTCTAATTTAACATGATCGAAATCGCAAGTATATATATTTTTAATTTGTTTTGAACTTAATTCTTCGATACAATTATTGTATTGATCTATATTCCGTGAAGAATTCTGTGAATCTTCCAAAACTCTTTTAATAAAATTATATTGCTCATATGTTGCTTTCATCTCGTAATCTTCTTTATATTTGAGAATTGGCCTTCCGTAATTTATGATCCTTTTATCAAATTCATTAAGTCCCACCTTAGAATATGTTATTAATTCATCTAAGAATTCAGTCTCTGTCTTATTTCCAAAACATACTTCCAAGCTATCTGTTTCAAAAATAAGTTTGTTTGGACTCTTAATTTTGTTGAATTTGATTGCTTTATCTAATACATCTTTAATTTCACAAGCTTGCGCCATTTGAACATCCTTTTCATAGTAAATTGTATATCGTTTAACAATGCATTCATTGATTTCAAATTCAGATTCATTTCTATCTGGATTTAGCCTAAATATCATAAAAGAATTTTGGCAGCTCTTTTTAAGTATTCTTTCATCTCCTTCTATTAGTTTATCTTCGATTTCAAAATAATCGTATTCCGTGTGCATCTTCTTGACGTAAAGGATTGTTATTTTTTCAGCATTTGTGTAAATTGGAGGATTCTCTAACAATTTAAGAAAATTTTGGACACTGAATGGTAACTTTGGGTTCTGAGTATCATTAAGCAATGGAATGTTTATGATCAACGCTTTAACATATTGAGAATATTCTTTCCATGCAATTAATTTTTCTTCATCAATCTTATCTCTATTGAAGGCATCAACAAAATCTTTCTTGTCTTTACTTATTGCATTTGACATAGCAGTATAAAGATTCAATGAATGCATTCGTTTAATTTTTGCATCTTCTTCATAAAGTTCTAATTTGAACTTTTCAATTTCTTCGTTTAAGGCATTGTTGTATTCTTTAACAAACGACCCTAATGGATTCCAAACGAAATCATGGATAATTTGGCTTTGTGGATTGGATGCTACTGTATTAAATTCTTTAATTGCCTTGATAATTCTTTCGAATAAATCTAAATCGAAATCTTTAAATACAAACTTAAAGTAATCGGTAAGGAATTTAACCTCAATTTCATTTGCAGATGCAAACTCTGATATTGCTGTCATACATCCATAAATCACGATTGATTGGTAATTAAAAACCATTTTGGAACCTGGGCTTGCAGTTAATGCAAGAATAAATTCATACAATTTTTTAGTGTAACTAATTGATGATTTCATTAAATCTTTGAAATGCCTTTGAAGATATGAAAGAGTCTCTATATCATTTCCTTGCTGTTCTAAATAGGCTTTTAAAGCATAAGGATTTAAGGATAAACCAACATATTTTTTGATTGCAATTCCAAAATCCTTTCTTATTTGTTCAATGAATATGTTCATTTGATCAATTTGTTGAATACATCCAGAGATAATATCAATACAATCAAACAAACTAGAAAAAGTATTTTGAGGATTTCTTTTATAATAATCTTCAACCTTCATTAAATAATCAAACAAAAACTGAGATGGGCTCTTATACCAATCATTGATAATTTCTCGAAGAAGTCGATGAATGTCATTGGTGATCTTGCTGCTGATTATTAAAAGATTGCTATTTGAGAACAATCTGATAATAATCAATCCAATTATCATGTGAAATGAATCTGTTTCATTTTGTGGGAGGCAAAGATTCATCAATTGTTTCATATCTGGGTTCTTTTGTAAGAAAAGTGTTTGGAAAGGAACGAATTCAAGATCTGTTTTATTGTAATAAAGCATTGCATCGCAGAAAGAGAATTCGCATTGATTCTCATCCAATGATCTGCAAAAAGCTGCAAAAGTATCTTGTTCTCCAAATATTTCTTGAACTTTGTTACTAATGTCAGTGAATGTTGTCGGTGGATTGTTAATAGAATTCTCTCTATACTCCATGAATCTGCATGACTGACTGAGATATTCGAATCCTTTGATACCGATGCTGGAGTATAAAAAGTTTGTTATTGTTGAAGGCGTTTTTGGCGGAAATTCGAAAGGAATTTCAAGAGGAATGAAATTATCAATCTTTTCAAGAACATCTTCCCAATCTGAAGAAACGTAGTTTGATGGATTTATAAGTTTATTGACTTCATCAATAACTTTTGACCTTTTGATGAATTCCTTTTTTTCGCCAAGATGTTGGAATAATTCTCTGGTTATTTCATTTTTATATGAATATAATGATGTTAAATCACCTTCAGTAAAAACTTTTGGCAAACAATTTTTGATATCTTTTGACATTTCAGAAAGAACTTTGAGAGATTTAAGAGATCCATTTTCTGTACTTTCAATTAAATATGATTTGTAGGAATATAAGCAATAATGATAAAACCATGATACATCATCATTATTATTTGAAACAAATAAATCACCAAGTTGTTTGAAGTGATATTGTTTTGGAGTATAGATTTCAATATTTGCTCTATCAATCATCTTCAATAAATCTTTCGGAAGGGTCTTCTCGCTGAAAACGTTTGAATCAATCGCCCATTGTAAGATTTCATAATTTGGTTGTTTCAAATTAATATATTGTTGGATTTCATTCATCACAGACTTTGATGTTCTCTTCTTGTTATTTTTCTTTTTCTCTTTTATTTTAATATTCATTTTCTTTAATTCTCTTATCAAATTATTAAATGTTGCGCATAATTTGAATTTGGTGAAATCAAAAGACATTAATGAATTGTATAAATTACTATCTTTTTCAAGAACATTCTTCCAATTAATTGCTCCAAGAGAGAGAGTTTCATTATTATTCATTGTCGTTGAGATCAATTCCAAAAGATCTGACCATTGCTTGAACATTTGAAGATCTTTGTATTTTACAATCAAATCATAAGAAATTTGATAGCTTTCGGAAGCATAATCTTGGAATATGCCTTTTAATTGTTTCGGAGAATAAAAGATAGAATTATATAACATGTAAATGAACTTCTTTGATAGACTCTTTCTGAATTCTTGGTCTACAGAATTATTTGAAAAAGAAGAATTAGATGTCTTATGTTGACTTGAAATATTAGAAAAGAAAGTTTCAAGATCACCTTCGATTCTAGAAATTGGAATTGTTTTTTGCTCAATGTAAATTTTATCCATGAGCTTGTTCTTAAAGTAAAAGATAACGGTTTTATCAATTACTTCATTTGGTTCCTTTTCAGCTAAAATAATTTTATATCCAAGATTCTTGATCTCTTCAATGCCTTTTGCAACTGAATACATATATGATGTTTGATAAAACATTTCTGGTGATCTGTTTTTCATTGAAAGGAAGAAAAACAATGCTTCATTAATATTATTTGTTGCATTGATTTGGCTTAATAAATAAAGATCAATAGCCTTGAATTCAAGCTCATTGATATCATACTTTTCAATTATGAATAAATATGCTTCAATTCTTGAAACAAATTCATCAAAATTCTGAAATTCGTTCTTGACAATAGTACTTAATGATTGTCCTTCTAATTTCTTCTCTCTTCTAATGATCTTAGCTGATTCCAAGATGAAATTATTAATGAGCACAAAGATATCAATGTATTGATGATCAAAAGTCAAAACTTTCTGAAGTTCTTCATAGTTTTCAAATGGAAGTCTCATGAATGTTTGAAGGAAAATTTGGATGGAGAAATTACAGCTTCTCTTGAATTCAACAAGAGATTTCTTGAGGCGTTCTAATTCAGAACTCTGAATGATAACTGAGTTTTTGAACTTCTTGAGTTTGCTTTCATCAATTGCTTCATTAAATTTACTCTGAATATTATTCTTAAATTCATCATCAATCTCAATTTTACTTGAATAGTTCTTCTCAAGTGAATCGATGATCTTATCTCTATTTAATGGAGCTTTCAAAGCAAATGAATTTGCAATTCTGATTAATGTCCTTCCATCAACATCCTGGTTTTGCTTTTGGCTAAGATGAACATTGATAACTCTTGCAACAAGTTTTTGCACTTCATTTGTATTTGTGAATCCCAAATTCTTAATTTGAGAAATGATTCCGAAAACAACATTGAATGAATCATTGAAATCATTATCAATTTGATCAAGTGTGTAAATGAAGCATCTGTTTAATAAACCCTGAGAAATTCTTTGTCTAGTTGTTACTTCATATGGATTATATGTCATGAAAACGCGGAATTTTGGATGAGCTGTGATTTCATTGTTAATTCCTCTTTCATACAAATCGAGTTTAGGAGATTGACTAAACAATGTAATGATTCTATCAAGAATCATACTTGGACATGCTTCAATTCCGTCAAGAAGAAGCCATTTTCCTTCTTTCATTGCTTTAACAATGATTGATTCGTATTTCTCGATGAGATTATAGAATTGACATTCATTAATAATTTTCTTGATTAAATTATCAATTGGAAGACTTTCTACTGTATTAGGAATTGATGCTTTGATTGTTGTGAGTCGATTAACTATTTCATGAAGTTCAACTGGAACCCAAGAGTTTATTTTGATCTGATTTATGGCAGGGAATGTTCGGCCAACTTCATTCATCATTGTTTGTATTTCTTCTCTTTGCTTTGGACGAAGTTCAGATAATGGTTTGTAACCACCATAAACAATAGAATCACTTGTTTCTGTGTTGAGCTGAAGAGTAATTAAATTCTGTCCCATTGCTTCCGCAAACAAGCTCATTGCATGAGTCTTTCCTGATGCTGTCTTTCCTTGAATAATTACAGGAATGCATTTTTTAGTTGAAGCATTCAGAATTAAGAACAAATTCTTCTGCGATTTTGTCATATTCTGAATAAGAGACTGCTTCCTTTCATCTTGAATATAATTTGTGCACGTTCTATCATTAATTGAGACATAGCCATTTTCAACTCTTATCTCTGTTTCTTCGTCTTCTTCTTTATTTTCTGGGTTTTCTTCATCGAAAACTGTCTTGTAAATTTGATTCTTCAAAAAGGATATTTTAGATGGAAGTTGGGAAGCCAAATTAATGAAATTCTTAAATGTTCTGATAGTAATTGGAATTGGACTTTGTTTCTCTTTGGCTAATTGCTTCCACTGATACAAAACTGATGGAAATTCAGAGATTTCATTGTTATGAGCAAGATTTGAATCCTGAACTATTTGTTGACAAATTTGAACAAATTCATTTTCTGGATACTCGGACTGTTCAATGCAAACAGCATTATTCAAAATATTCTCGTTGTAAAATGGCTTTGAAGATAAGCCAAACATGACATATTCATTCTTCTTTTCTATTGTACCATTAGGAAGTAAAATTTGATCTGATTCTGAATCAAACAATTGATTTAATGAATCAATCAGATTATCTGATGCTTGATCAATCTCTTCGAGAACAATCCAAACTGGTCTTCTATTAGAAGCATTTTCTGTAATCTTCTTTAGAAGAGCAGTCTTGTTGAAGTTGAATGATGCGCCATATTCATCTTGAACCAGTTCGTTCTGGCCATAGATACTTTCAATTGTTGTGGATGGAGAAATTCTGACTGTCATCAAATCAGCATCGAATAATTCTGCCAAATAACTAATTGCTGTTGATTTTCCAGTTCCACATGGACCTTGAACAATTGCGTTGTATTTCATCTTTGCAGCTGTGAACAAAAGATTTATCATTGCATTGACAGATTTTGTCTGAACAAGATTTGTCTTTGGCTTAATTTCATGATCATTAATAACAAATATTTCTCTGGAAACAATTTTACCTGCACGTGTGTTTAATGGTTCATAGAGCATTTCATCTTCTATGATATTCATCATGTACAACGCATTTGCGAAAAATCTTTCTGGCTTTTGGTTCTTAAGGGAATTAGAAACTTTTCTTGCAATGTTATTGATCATAAACTTCTTATTTAATGACAAATCATCGAAATCTTTTTGCATCAAGAATTTGTAAAACATTTTGTCAAAGATGTACTGATAATCATCTTTGCTATATTCTTTGGTCTTGACAACTGTTAAACGAGAAAGCATAGCTTCAGAAAGTTTTGATTTTTCTTGCATCGTTGTTGTTGCAAAAACTCTAAAATTGTCAACTTTGATTGTTTGATTCTTATGAGGAACAATTGTATTTGTGAAGTCTTCTCTTAAAGTGAGTTCTGGAGTTATTGAGAAAAGTTCATTCAATCTCTCAATTACAGATATTGGTGGATGGGAGAAATTCTTAAGAATAAGAGGCTTCTGTTGCAATATGGCTGATGTAATCAAACCTGGTTTGAATACTGTAGTGTAGTATGAAAATAAAGTTGAAAAATCATTCTTCTGATGGATAAGATTCAGAATATTTGATCTAATTTGTTCAATAACATTAATGATCGAATTATTCTTATTTTCGTGGAGTGATTCAATGAATTTATTGAACTTTACTTCATCGAAAACATCTTCGAAGTATGATCTCTTAATCATAGAGCATTCAGAATATTTTGAATAGTCACTATCAATTCTTGACAAGATATCAAAGAGCATTGATATGACTGACTTTCTATCTGTCAAATTGATTCCTCCTATAAGAGAAGAAGTCGTTGAATCTTTGTTTAAATTGACAGATTTGAAGTTATTTCTCGTTATCTTCTTTGCTAAGAATTCTTTATATCCTGATGGACCAGATATCAAGATTGGTTCATGTGGATGTGTCATTTGGATATCGAAATAAGAATTCCAATATTGCTTCAAATTCAGATCAACATCAATTGGAACATTCTTTATAACTATTTCTCCTTTTGTAAGTGTTTTTGTCTTTGGATCTGCAATGACATTTAAAGTCATGACTTTTGTTAATGCCTCCTTTTCTTCATTTTTAAGTCTGAATGATTCCGAAATAACTCTGTGTATTTCAGCAATAATTTTTTCATCAATATTATCATGTACACCCAGCAACATAAATGCAGCATGATAATATGGTTTGATTGTTGTGTTCTTGTTGAAATGCAATATGCGTCTAAAGAATCTTCTTGCCTCACGGAATGACCATGGTTTGGACTTTAATAATTCTGATTCTCTGATTTGTATCATTAAATCAGTTGTATATCCGAGATATTCCATTAATTCGCTATTCATCTCGAAGATAATATCTCTAAGAATGTTCTTTAAATCATCTTTTCCTATCAATGGATATTCAAGCATAACTATTTTTGATGTCAAATCTGTTGGCAATTTCTTTCTTCCTATCATAGAAATGTCATTCTGGCATCCAATGAAGAAATATCTTGGAGAAACAGTAACTGTATCTTCATTGTTTGGTAACTCAATTTCTTCACCTTCTTTTGGTTCAATGGCGATTCTTAGTGATTTGAGGACACTTGATTCTGCGAGATTCAACTCATCAGCAACGAATATGCCTCCAACACTCATTGCTTCTGTAAGAGGACCTCTTTTCTGATTGAAACCGTTTTCACTAATTGTGTAATTGCCAAACAATTCTCCGATTTGTGTTTCATTGTTGAAAGCAACCTTGAAAACAGGAATTTCAAGTATCTCTCCTAAAGCTTCAGCAGCTGATGTTTTGCCATAGCCTGTTTGTGATTGCAAAACAACATGTTTTCCTGCATTGCATAATGCAATTAAAGAAGCCATCAATTTTTTGATTTGTGGTGATTGTTTGAAATGGAAATACTGTGTATCATCATTCTTTTGTGCTTTGATGATAACATCAGCAAAATCATTGCCGACGTCTTCATTTTTCCAAGGAAAACATTCTTACTGAATGCAATAATTGATTTATCTGAAATCTCCTTGTATAAACCTTTGATTTTAATGTAGAAATTGATGCATTCTATTACTTTGATTTTGAGTTTATACTTCAATAAATCTGATTTAATGAGATTTCTTGCAGAATATGAATCTACATTTGTATCAATGTAATCGCTGAAGACTTGTCTTGTTTCACTTTCATCTTCAAACTGATTATCAATATAAACAATTGCGAAACGATTGATAAGAGCAGGACTCATCAATTTGATTGATTCTCTTCCAGCGGTTGCAATGATTCTGAAGTTTTCGTGAATATGAACAATTTGATTTTCAGGGCGTTCATTTACATGGAATGTTTGATCAGTAAGATAAGCTTTATCTATTAATGTATTAAGCCTTTCTATAACCTGTGAAGGAGCACAATTGATGTTATCAAGAAGAAGAACCGATCCTCCTTCAAGAGCTCTAATAACTGGTCCATCAACCCATGTGTCTTTGATATTTCCTTGCATTTGATTTGATGCATCAATTGTATGCCTTCCAAGAAGATCTGCATTTGTTGTTTCTGGAGTGCAAATGACAGTCATTGGCTGGGATGCAGATGGATGATAGTATCTTGACAGCCAGCGAGCTATAGCTGTCTTTCCGCTGTTGCTTTCACCAATCAAAAGAAGAGGCTGTCTGTTTTTGACTGACAAAATATTGGCTGTTGAAATTGAACGTGAAAGAATTGGATTTCTTATGCAATTCTGAATTTGAACATTGTCAATAGGTATTTGTGGTATTTCTCCCCAGTACTTTTTGAATTCTTTTTCATACTCTTCTCTTGTTGACTTTGGAAAACATAAACAATAAATAATATATATAGCATGATCAATGGGAATATTAGTTGACATGCAATTTAAAACTAGCTTGATGTCTCTAACTGTAAAGCATCTATAAGATTTTCCCTTTGACGCTCTTTTCGCACAAAATTCATGGAATTTGATAAAGTTATTAATAGTACTTTCATTATCTAGACCACTCTTGCTTATAATCTCTTTGAGCTCAAGTTTATCGAAATTGTCGAAATAAATGATTTTGAATTTTGATTGGAATTTTTGCAAAAGTTTGTTTCTGTTCTTGACGTAATCTTCATTGGCTGGATTCATTGTTGCTACAAGCTTAAAGTTATTATTTCGAGGAATTGGCTTATAGTTATTCTGACCAATCGAATTTAGCTCAAGATTGCCAGAATCAAGAGAAGCTTCTATACATTGAAGAATATCTGGAGGTGCAAGATTGATTTCATCAATGATAAGACAGCCTCCATCGCGGAATGCCTTCGTAAATGGGCCTTCTTCGAATTTTGTGACTTCATTTCCAGATTTTTGAAGAATTGTTCTACCAAGTAGCTGTTCACCAGTTGTTTCAGAGCTGCAGCTAAATAATTCTGGATTATTTAACGCAATCTTTGCAGATGTAGTTTTTGCTGATCCTGTTGGACCCATTAAGAGAACAGGAAATCCTAAATCTGTGAATGAACGGATACCATCTATCCTCTTTATAGCTTCGCGTGTAGCTATAAAGCCGTGAGGATATTCATTCATTTTTCTGAAATTTAATTTCCAATTGAATTTTCTCTCAAATTTTGACAACATGTTTTATTTTTTGAATGGCAAACAAGACATGAAAAAATCACGTCTTATCGAATAATGCAGTACATAAAACGTTAACTAAAATTTCATCAAAAAAATTGGTACATATATAAGACATAAGATATCCAATTTTCTCTATTAGTCTTATTTCGATTAAAAAAAATTGTGACTAATTTATTTACGGCAAGATGTAATACTGAGCCCGATGATAATGAATTCAGTGTGGATTTCAAGATTCGAGCATTTATTGAAGCATTGACAAATAGTGGAAGTATGGTATTTTAAAGGATGTGTCCGAAACTATTTTCTGAAGGTTTTTGTATTGATCATAATTTAATAAAAATTAGAATTTGTCATATTTTCCTTGTATAAGCTATATCTTGTCTAATGTGATAAACACTAGGAAATACTACTAATACATAAATCAACTAAAGTTAATGTATTTCTTTACATTTTAAATTCAAATAAATTTATATATGTGTATTTGTAACAAGAGAAACATCATTAAACAATGATTCCAATTATTGGAATATTTAACTGAAAATATCTTGAATTCAATATTAAATATTTGATCCATCAATGAAGAAAATGCAATATCATTTATTATAACATTAACGCCTAGCAAAGAATTGCATGATTTCAATTGCATAATTAATAGCACTGAAAGTATCATCATTCTGATTATGTGAATTAAACAGTATTCCATGAATGAACTTCAAACTATTAATGCACATATGTTTGATTTCTGTGCTTCCTCCTGCATGGTATATCTTTTTGAGTAATGAGAAGTCCAAAGAATTAATAGCTGCCAAAAGTAGAAACTTTGAATGAGAGTCTCTGCAATGATCCATGCTGCAATCAAATCCATTATCAACCAAGTAATTTGCTATATCAAGCTTTCCCAAATGCAGCGCTACATATAATGCACTTTTATAGCTTTTTGCCCTGATATCGACTCCATAGCTTAAAGCAGATTTAACAGCATTTAAATCTTTATATTTGCATGCATAATATAAAATTGTATTGGTTTTTCCGTTTATATAGTTAAGATCAGCACCTGTACTTAATAATTCTTTAAACAATTCAATGTTTCCTTTCTTATATGCCAATGTTACGGGTGTTTGATTATCTATAATCATAATGTTTCTTGGAGGAACAATATTATAACTTTTCAACAAATTATAAATTTTTTGATTGTATTTATTAATTACGATAAATTTAACTAATGCACAATAAAATGATTGTATGTCAGGCAAATTTCCCTTCTTCAGAATAAACTCTAAAAAGTCGTAATAATCGTTTTTATAACAAAACTTAATTATTTGGTAAAATTGTTTTGAATCTGGAGAGTAAAATGAATAAAAATAATGTAGCCCTGGTAGAAATTTGAGTGATTTGAAGAATTTGTGGAAATCGCATGGTAGAACCAACCCATTTTCTGCGTAAAAAACGAAAGCTCTGATGTTAAATCTTATATCTGTTTCACTGCTTTGTTGTAAATTATTAAAATTTTCTAAAATCCAATCTGCAATATTATTTAAACGAAATGATATAGAAATATCAAAGCAATCACTAAAAATTACTCCTGCATTGTAAAATAAATGAATCATTTCATAATTTCCCCTTGCAATTATATTGGATTTGATGTTATAATCAATATTTGTCTTATTTAAAAGTGAAGGTTGATTTAAAATTACATATTTAACTAAGCCTGGATCGTTTGAATTGATTGCATCAAGTAAATCATTATTATTAAAATGATAATTTGGTTCGAAAAGTTTTTCTTGTAATTCTTGAATAGTTATTTTAGATTTGCATTCTGGACAGATGACATTCAGTTCGAATAAATCCGAAATTTTTTGTAAAAAAGAATTTGTTTCGTTAATTCTTTCATTTTGTTGTGATTTGAGAGCAACAATATCAACCAAATATTTTTTGAATCCAATGTCAATATAATCTTTTATTTTAGAAACATTCTGATCAAAATTTTCGGAATTGAGAGAATAAATGGCTTCTTCAATATCCAGAAGTTTCTGAAGTTGCTGTGGAATCAGCAAATCTGATATTTGTTTAACTCTAAGTTTGTCTGGAAAGATCAATGTAAAAGTCAATTTTGTCACTTTTATATCAAAGTGATGAAATTGTTCGTATAGCAAACTATGCATAGAAAACTTTTTGATTGTAAGAAATTACCTATTTGATTAAAAATCTAAAATAATAAAAATAATTTTTAAAAGGACTGTTCTGATGAAAATTTTCAGTCTTTCTCTGAGAAGTTCTGGTGTTTTGAATGACATAATTTCAATTATATTGAACCATGTGCTAGCATTTGGGAGCGAGAAACTATTTTCATTTTAATAACTTGTTGATTCCTTTGAAACCTCTGGGGTTTAGTTTCCAGTTATAAATCTAATTAATTTCGAAATTTGATCTGGAGAATGTCAGAAAGTAAGTGTGCCCTTAAATGCCATAATTAATTATTTATTTGTGTTCATATTTAGCAATATAAACATTAATAAATTATTTATTTGTGTTCATATTTAGCAACATAAAACATTAATAAATTATTTATTTGTGTTCATATTTAGCAATATAAAAGTTAATTAGAATTAAAATAAATAAAATAATAATTTAATCATTAAATTCTGCTTGGAATGAGAAGCAAATTATCAATTTTTGTCTTAGGAGTTCTGGTGTTTTATATGGCATAATTTCAATTAAATTGAAACATGTGTGAGCAAATGGAAGCGCGAAACTATTTTCATCTTGATAGCTTGTTGATTTATCAGCTAACTTCAAGCAAAAGTCTTTTGCATTCTTTGGAGTTTCGTTTCCAGTTATGAATCCCATTAATTTGGAAAATTCTTGAGAAGTGAATTTGGAAATTGCTTGGGTGAAAACTGGCCAAACAACGCAATTTCTTGCTGGTGGATTGAAGTAGGCGATGAATGAATTAAAGTCAAGTTCTTTCTTGACACCGCATGTTAATCCTTCAATGAAGCGGCCGGAGAAGTTTTTAACTTTGTCAAGAGGAATGACTTTCCAGAATCCTTTGCGCATAGCATTAACAATGTTTTTGAGACTGTTGAAATAACTTTCGTCATCACAGTCAACAAGCAGAGAAAGGTCTGAGTTAGTAACAAAACTGTCCCAAATGAATCGTGGAAGATTCCAAGCTTTGTGTGCATTTCGTGTTGCAATAGCACTAGCAATGAGAGAACCAATTGTACTTGCAACTTTGATTGGTAAGTTCGATGCAGGAACTAAGCGATTCTTTTCACAATGAAGAGTGCTTGGTGGCTTGATGAAATATCGGATATTAACATCCATTAATTCATTGACCATAAGGAAGAATGAATCTCTGAACATACCACCGACATCTTGGCCAGTTGTTCCTTCGTATTCAGCGAAATACATAAGTTTGTTTTCTTTTGCTCTGAATGCGATGATTTTTGATGGGAAATGAGCTTCATCTCTAGCAAGGTAATCAATGATTCTGATAAGGTTTGGAGAATCATAGTCAACACCGTGAGAATGTGTCCTAGTGATATCAATCTTCAAATATCCGATTGTTCCTTCAGCAGCCCAATCTCTGAAATCGCCTAACCATCCAACTTTAATGTTGGCATCATCATTAAAGTAATTGTCAATAGGATTCAGTTCTGGTGTGGAATAATCGAAGTAATCATCACTAACTTCTGTCAATGTAGATAAACCGATGTTTGCAAAGAATAAGATAATTGATGGGTAATCACCGATTTTAGCGTCACAGATCTTATTCTTCAACATGTAATCGACTAAAAGTGGTTTATAAACTCCGGAGAAATCCTTTTCGATGTAATTCTTCCAGTCAGACAAAACTTGTTTGCCATCAGTGCCAAAATGGTATCTGTATCCTTTGTTAGCTTCGCAAGAAGAATATGAATTACTTGTGATGATTTTGGTTGTGCCATTTGGCAACAAAATTTCAACAGGATAGTAATTATTGTTCTTGACAACGCACTTTGAAAATGTTGCACCTTTGTCGGAGAAAAGAAGCAATGGTGGCATTCGTTTCGCTTTGTTAGATACATTTTTACCAAGAGTGAACAAGTCGCCAATAAGTGACTGTGCACATTTGTTGATCAATGATGAATGTGCTTGTTTAGCGACAATTGTATTTGGATCGCGTTCGAAAACAAAAGTAACTAAGTTGTTGAAATATTCTGTGTAATCCTTTTCAGACATGTTGCTGAAGTAGCCCTCGTATGTTGGATTGTTGAAGAAGTTAAGGATCATCTTTGCTGATTCCAAATCATTTGGAAGATTCTTATTGAATGTTTTAAGAATCATTGGAATGAAACCGAGGCAAACTTTCTTATACTTGAAGAACAATTTAAGGCCTTGTACGAATGTCTTTTCATAGAAAATACCGTGATTCCATGCTTGGAAGATACCGATCTGTGATGCACCGTAAGTGGAATTGTAAAGTTGATTGATATCTCTGCCAGCAGTGAATTTTGGATCTTTTTCACCTTCCATTACAGTATTTTCTAATTTGGCCTTGATATCGTTTTCTTTTCCTTTCATTAGTGCTTTAATTTGGTCCAGTTCTTGCTTTGATGATGTGTCAGACAATTTCGTGATCATATTCAATGCCATTTCGCTATTAATTTCTGGAAGATAATAAGGAAGCATTGTCTTGATCAATGAAATCGAGTAGTTCTTACATGTTTGTAACAAATCATTTAATAATTGTGTTGGATCTCCGATTCTGTTTTCTATTTCTGCGCAAATCATAACGGTGTCAAATGGGGTGTATTGTGTTGTGATTTGATTTGCAGGAACAATGTAAGTTTCTGTTGATCTGTTTTCGAAATTGCAGCCTGTAATAGTATAACCGTAATTAGCTTCCAATCTGGATATATTTACATCAGAATGGTTTTCGATTTTCACTTGCATTCCGAGACAAACTTTGGGGAAAATCATATTGAGGTTAAATCTATGTTGCTTTGTTGGAGGTGCATTAGCTTTAAGTGAAGTGCTCCTTGGTTGTACAAACTTGTATTCGACAAGAGAATCATCGCAAACTGTGATAACAAATGCCCAGCGTTTCTTTGTTTCACCGCTGTCGATTTTGACATTTCCGAAACAAAGGTAGTTATTGTCCATCCACAAAGTTATATTTGACAATGAGCCTGTGTAAGGGACAAACTTCTTATCCATGTAGATATTCCTATCAAGCAAACTGAGGAATGTGCAATCCCAGTTTTCAGAAATGAAACCAATATATTTGAGTTGAGTCTTCATATCTGTGAATGAAATTTCTATAGCATTATTGACATCAATCATTTTCGTATGGACGAAGAATGATGATGTATCAGGACTGCCATTGAACATAGAATCCTTGCATTCACCGCAATGTGTCAAAGGAATAAATTTGTCTTTAATACCATTCTTTTCACAAACTCTTTTCAGCTGCTGTCTGATGAAGTAAGAGTACTTGGAGTTTGTGTAATTTGGAACTACTGTATCTTTGAACTTCTTGCATATTTCCTTCATCTTCGGGAATTTTTCAGCAAATTTGTTCTTGTCAGATACAGCATCAAATAATTTTGATAAAAATGACAAAATAATGCAATTTTTGATTGCCTTTTCTGCAATTTTTTGTGGAGTATCCAATGGTTTTTGTGAATTGTCAGCTGGTTTTTGAGAAGGTGTTGCTTGGATATCAAGATCAACTTTATCGATAAACTCAATCATTTTCGCTGTTAATTTGGCAGTAACATTAAACTTTGGAGGATCAATTTGGAAACAAGCTTGAGAATTCCTTTGAACATCCACGTCATGATTATTTGCAAGCTCTGTCTTTCCTTTGATCTTGATGTATCTTGTAACTTCTGAATCAAATATTTCAGCACCCAATGCAATCATCGCACCCAAGCTAACATTTTCATCGTCGTTAGCTTCGATTTTTTCAAGAATTTTGTCTTTGTGTTCGGTTCTAATTTTGCAGATATTCTCCGAAACCTGCCAGTTCGAATCTGTAAATGTTGCTCTCGCATAAGCTAATTTAAATAGATAATTTTCTTCATCTTTTCCTGGTATAGGTAGCGATTCATTGCATTCTACAGGATTATTAATTGCTATTCCCATTGTTTTAAGAGTCATTAATGCCAATTTCATATCAGCTTGCTCTGTGTTGTGTTCTTCATAACTTTGTGAAATGTTATTGATGAGATTAGCAATTGTCTGATCGTTACCCTCTTTACTAATCAAGTGACAATTGATCACAACATCATTGAATTTTTGACAGGCTTTTATGATTTTGTGATTTTTTCCTGTTTCTGGGTAGATAATGAAATCTAAATGTTGAACTAAACTTCTCGCAAAAGGAATAGCAAATGATTCTGCTTTCAATTTGCGAAGTTTTTTGAAGAAATTCAAGATTATCAAATTCACTTCATTTGGCAACTCTTCTCTTAATGACTTATTTTTTTCGATCGCAACCAATTCTGTATAATCAAATTCAAAAGAATAAAAAGCAATTATTTTTTCATATCTCGCAGTCTGTGGAGAAGGCTTTGGTTGCTGATTGTCTGTTGATTTATTAGCTTGTTGATCGTCTGTTGGATCAAGATAAGCTTTTTCAATTATAGTATGGAATTTTCGGTTTATTGAATTCAACACTCCACTATATTCCGTAGTGTTCAAAAGATTAATTAATTCTAATTTTATCTTTTGTACCTTTGGTAAGTAAGGTTTGAAAATTGTATCAAACTTTGCTATAGTTGGTTCTGTTTCGAATTCAGTATATTCCTTTAACAAATTGCATGACCAAATGATTGAAAGCATTATTTTAACTGTAAGGACTTCAACGTCAATATTAAATGTCCTCTTTCTAAACATTTTTTGTGTTGTTGCCTTTGCGATGATATGGAAAATACTTTTTGGATTTTGATAATCCCTTTCGGCTGCAGAATAAACATCTCTCAAATTCGTTCTAAAATTAGAGTATTCTTCATTGGGTTTATCGCAATGCGGAAGGCTCAATATATCAGCATGAGCTTGCTCCATTTCCGTTAGAGGAATTGATTTTGTTGAGTTTTGAGCGCATTTGATGAATAAATATGGGAATAAAGCATATGTTGGATCTGCTTTTGAAAAATCTTGGGAACAGATTTTCGAGACAATTCCTTCAAGAATATATTGAGTACTTTTATTGTTTCCAATGATATCAATGCTCACATTTTGTCCATTGATCTCTGCTGATTCGGATAACAATTCTTCGTAGTTAAAGAAAGCATTTTGATTTACTTGTCCTTTAACAAAATCTTTCTGTGTTACTTTAATCTTTCTGAAAGGAGTTGCAAAATAAGTTTCGATATCTCCACAAACATTTTCAGGAGCGAAAATTGTTGTGTTTAATGAGATTGATGTTGGTTTTTCGATTTGTTGTCTTTCGGTGCTTTCTCCATAATTGATCAAATATTTCAATATTAACTCAGTAAAATTGGAATCTTGCTTGATAAAGTATTTCCAGATAATATCTGTTTTGAAAAGTTTATCCAAGTTTGTGATAACACATTTAACAAGATAAGGTCTCATTGGTATTACTGATAGTACTGAAAGAAGTGCTTTAAGAACTGGTTCATAAAATTCCTTATTTTGCTTATCATACATGTTAAAAACAAAATCAATGAAAGAAATAAATTCTTGGTCGAAGTATTGTTTCGTTGTATCGCTCATGTGTTTAACAATTGTATACAAGTCATAAATTTTTTCAATGATGAATTCAGCGAAAACTTTGGAATTCCGAGCCTTTATGTTTGACCATGGGAAGAAAACACTCTGTGGCAATTTGTATATATCGTTGAGTAACAATTCAGGTTGGTAAAATGCAAAATAATCATTTTCAATTCTTGTTCCAAAATTTGGCCAGTAAATTCCATATTTGACTGCTCTTATCATCATACCATATGTTTCTTGGATTGGAGCAGTTGGTAATTGTTTTCCAAAGAAAGCGACGATTTGCGATTTATCTTGTCATTGATCATTTTGTTTGATGAATAAATTTGTCTGAGATTCAATATTAATAATCTGTCTAACATAAGATTTAAGAAATTCATGAGATTTTTGTCGATGCTTGAGTTATTCAATTCCTTGATTATACCAAGAATGAATTCAACGTGCTGAGTGGGATTGGCTGCATAATCACATTGTGCTTTTCCTGTTTTGATGAGTGAAATTAATGAGTTTGTAACTTCCATCAAAATATCATCAATAATCAATGAAACAGCTATTTGTGATTCTGTTGTGAAGCATGGACGAATGATTGTCAAATAATCTTCGCATTTTCCTTTCGGCCGGATATCAACAAGTATTGTATCTTCGTGAAAACTGATTCCAAAAATTTCTTTTTCAGAAAAGTTAACGGTTGAATAGATGTAATATTGAGGCTTTTCGTCAACGATTATCATGTTTCTTAAATCGAAAATGGTAATGCTATTGGATGCAGTATAGATATGCAATTCATTGTTAATAATATGAATGCATGTTCCTGAAAAAAGTTTTTGACATCCAAATCGATGATTTCGCCATTCCTGGATCAGTTGGAATTTCACTGTTTCTGTAAACAATAACACTGACTTCATAATTATTAAGGAGAATAAAAGTCAAACAACCATCTATAATGGCAGCACTTGTAATTTTGTATCTGTTATCAATGATACCACTCAAATCTTTAAAATCATTATTATTAATTGCGTATTTTTGAGAGGCAACATTGATAATGCATCTTCCTTGTGAATTATCTAATACAATGTAGGATCCGGGAGACGAATTAATGTAAATGGTTTGGTTTGGAGATTTTTGAATCAGATTCGTAATTTCTTGACTTTTAATCCAGTTTTCGATGGGATGATTGGGTATTTTGCGTAACCTTGTGAAGATTTGAGGTTTTTGGTCCAAATTGTTTTGACTTCTGTCTTCCGAAATAATTTCTTTTTTAACTTCTTCGTCAATATCAAATTTAGTTTGTTTTGAAATCAGCTTTAAAATTATCATCAGTTTTGCTAATGGATATGAACTTGGAGATATGCCATACTTGAGGAGATATGAATAATCTTTGACATTTATAGCTGTAAAAGAATCTTTAAGGAATTTAAATAGCTGATCTGGACGAATTAATTTAACATCGCTGGTATCGGCGGAATCTGGGTAATATTTTTCATTTGCAATTACTGGTAACATTTCAAACTTATTGCTACCTTTACATTTTGCATCAAAGTCGTCTCGAATTTTAATTACCAGATTTTCAAATGTCTGTGCAAGAGATGGATATGAAACTTCGATTGATTTTGCTTGTTCCTTAATTTTAGCTATAATCACATCTTGTTGTAGATTGCGTGTTTTCGCCACTTCATCAGCAAATGACTGCTTGGGAAATTTAATGTTGTCAACAAAAGGGAACGGCTGAAAAAGAGAATCCATATTGCAAAATTGTTGGCATTTTTTTTCAGGAATTCTTTTTCTATGTTCATTTGTTTAAACTTATATCATTGTTTCAAGCTGCTTATGTAATAACATGAACACGATAATAAAAATGAGGAAATTCTAATCTTAAATTGAAAAGTCATTAATCCTTCCATAATGCGAGTTTTATTTAATATGGTTTGAGAGATCTTTCAAAATGACATAATTTTTATCTCTCTTGATATTTTATAAATTCAAAGGGAAAAACTATGGGAAATGTACAATTCGTACTAACATAACAAACATTTTGAATGTATGTGAAAGAGATATTATCATATCAGACTTGGATTGTTGAAATTCAAAATGATCTTTTTGAGTTTATTGCTAACAACAAACTTTCGTTAGTAGAAGTACATAGTTTATCTCCCAAATAATGTTGTTCTTTAATAAATCTTGCACACCTCTCTTTTTTTATAGGAGTGATAGAAAAAATCCAAATTTGACAAAATTGGCATTGACAATTAAAAAAGAATTAAATTTGGATGTTGATTAATATTTCTACTAATATTAAAAATAGCCTTATCGATACATGAATTCAAATTTTTTGATAGCGCAAAATTTTAAAATTTTATTTCTATGGAGCCAAGTACTTCTCAAGTCAAAGGTAAGGTCGTCTTCGTTGGTGATGCATCTGTGGGAAAGACTAGTTTGATTTATCATTATAATCAAACAAAAGGCAACCCTTTACCTACTGTCGGAGCTAATTCCGTTCCTTGCACTGTTCCAATTGAAGGAAAAACAGTTTCACTTAATATATGGGATACAGCTGGACAAGAAAACTTTCAATGTTTAGTTCCGATGTTTGCCAGATGTTCAAATGCAGCAATTATTGTTTATGACTCAACAAATAAGCAGTCTTTTGATAATATAGCTTTGTGGTACAAGTATGCAATTGAAGAGTCAAATGTTCCAAATGTCATAATTGTTTCGAACAAAAGTGATCTCGAATCTGTTATTACAGCAGAAGAAATACACTCTATGAAAGAAAAATACAACTGCCCTTTGTTTTTTACTTCTGCCATTACTGGATCAAATGTAGACATTTTATTCCGTGAAATTGCTGAAATTGTAGATAAAGAACAGTCCAAAGATGCTAATCGTGCGATTGATCAGCCAATAAATTTCTCAAACAAATTAGATTCTGATCAAAAGAAAAAATGCTGTTAATTTCATGATTTACAATTGTCCTGTGTAGTGTCTTATTGATAATATTCTAGATTTTAACTTATTTATTATATTTTTATTTTATGTTTAATATATTATGTTTTATTATGCTAAATTATGAACTATGATATTCTTTCAATCAAACAATAATATATTGTTAATCGTAATTATACCTTAAGAGGGAAAATGTTGTTGTAAACAGAAATTCATCAAAAGTGACACCTCAGAAAAGCTAAAATATTGAATTTTTGGAACTTTTGATAGAGCACGTTTTTAAATATTAATTAAAGTAAATGTATATTTTGTAAAGATTCTTTTTAATAAAAAAATAAAATTTTGAAGAAGAACACAAAATCTTCTGAAAAATAATATCACATAAACTCATATTATTTTCTAATATATAACTATTTTATATAAAAATCAAATTCAATGATCTTAAAAGCGAAGGATAAACCTCAAAATTTACGAATATAATGAGTGGGAATATAATGCTTATCTATCATAAAACCATATGAAATATCAATTTTTGCTTTACGCCTAATTTTTGACGACAATTAGCAAAAAATGTTAAATGTTAACATTCAGTCCATTTGAATATGAAAAATAAAATTGACTTTGATTAAATGTTTTTATTTATCATGTAATTCTTCTTGCGACCAAAGATTTGAATAAAAGTTCAAAAAATAAGATAGCTTAAAAAATAATATACGGTAGTGTTTACTAATAGATGAATAGTATATAAATTCTATTAAAATGGATTTGATCCAAAAAATATATAAAATTTGATCATAAATAAAATCGTTTTAAATTACTTCTTCATTTAAATTATAACAATTATTTTTGGTTTTATATTTTTTTGGATCAAATCCATTTTAATAGAATTTATATACTATTCATCTATTAGTAAACACTACCGTATATTATTTTTTAAGCTATCTTATTTTTTGAACTTTTATTCAAATCTTTGGTCGCAAGAAGAATTGCATGATAAATAAAAACATTTAATCAAAGTCAATTTTATTTTTCATATTCAAATGGACTGAATGTTAACATTTAACATTTTTTGCTAATTGTCGTCAAAAATTAGGCGTAAAGCAAAAATTAATATTTCATATGGTTTTATGATAGATAAGCATTATATTCCCACTCATTATATTCGTAAATTTTGAGGTTTATCCTTCGCTTTTAAGATCATTGAATTTGATTTTTATATAAAATAGTTATATATTAGAAAATAATATGAGTTTATGTGATATTATTTTTCAGAAGATTTCATTCTATATGCCTATGAAAAGTACTCTCAAAACTAACTTTTTCCTAATTATAATTAAATCTAGAATATTGTATTATGCTTAGTATTATTTCATTTTTCTCATTCAATTTAGAATTTACAAATGTCAAAAAATTGAGAGCTGTCACTTTTGATGAATTTCTGTTTATTACAATGTATTATGAATTAAAATCAAATTTCTCAATTTCGGCTTTTATTCATTCAAAGTCATCGATGTGGTTTTCTTTATGATTCTATTTTTCAGAAATGAATTTAATACCAACTAGACTCAATTTATTCTTTGAATGGAATGAAATTTTGAAATATTTATCGCCCTCTGTGAAGGAAAGTGGAACTTTGAATGTTTCATTGGTCAAATCATATTTATTTAAATAATTCTTTGTCTGGAAGATTTCAATATTGTAATAACCGCTTTCAAATTTTTTATTGAACTCAAGAACTAGTTGCTTATTTTTGGTGTTATTATCTTTGACATTTAAAAATTCGCAAGTTTCAATTTGATTATTTTTGCTGACGTTATAGACTATGATTTCAAAAGGCGTTGGCTTTGGCTGCTGTTTTAAGATATGATAAGCTTTGGCTTGATCTGTTGCTGGATCTTTGCTTGAAGTAAAATTCATAGCTAAAAGTTTTTTGGATGCCCATTGAACCGCTGAAATTCCAGTTGTTGGGATTTTCATTATAGACAATCTGTGCTTGATTAGATCATAATTTTCGGAATATGTCCTAATCTTCATGGATCCAGATCCATCGCATTTGAATTCTAATTTTGTTTTATTATTTTCAGGGCATTTAAAGAAGAAACCAGTGTCGAATTTTTCATTTGGTGGCGCCATCCATGTTTGATTCGAGAACTTAATCGCTTTGCCAATAAATGCTCTTTCATTTGCAAACACATAATCAGGTAAATCATAAGCATATGTATTGTTTTTGATTTTTGAATCTGGTTGCGATACAACTGCCTGTGATTTCAAGCTAGAGGTATGTTCTTCTCTGGCCTTCGCCAAATCTCTATTGACTTGTTCAACTGTTTTCAGATATTTTTGATATTCATTAGCAATATATTGTGATTGATCAAGTTGAAATTCAATAAATGTATTATAAAGTTCATCATTAGTAATTTCATAAATAGGAATAAAGCAATCATCATATGAATTATCACATTGATATAAAATTTGAAGCAATGATTTAAATTCATTGGGAGTAATACTATTTTTTGAAAGCTTAAATTCGATTGACTGCCGAAGAATATTTGGATCACATGTTTTATTTTTTAAAAAAGAATTAAAGGCAAAAGTAAGGGCCTGTTCGGAAGTAGCATTCGGGGTTGGAGCATTATACTGGTTTTTATTTGAACTATGAGTATGTTGTGAGAATATTTGGGAAGTCATACAAAAAAATGAAATTGATGGTGGAAAAAATAAAATAAACTTTAAAAAAATTCCATAATATTCAAAATATGTTTCACACTTTTTCTGAGAAATTTCAAGCCGATAAAAAGTGTGAATACATATTTTAATAGGTTCGGATACTTTTTTCGGGCTTATTTTATAAGCCCGTAAAAAGTGTCAAACTTATTAGTATATGTAAAAAGTACTGAAATAGGAATAAACATAATCGAAATATTTCCAATTATTAAACTTTTTGTGTCACAAAAGCATGCATGAATAAATTAAAGATTTTACTTATATAAAAAATTATAACAAAATGTATTGCCTGCGTAGCATAGTGGTTATTGCGTGCGCCTTGTAAGCGCAAGGTCGCCGGTTCAACTCCGGTCGTAGGCAGAATATTTTTGTCCAATTTTTATCTCCATGCCTATTAAGAATTTTTTAATGTAGGGTTTCATATCATTGGGGAACTACATCAAGGTGGCATATAAGTATTTTGGATAAAACTCTGATTCAGATATGTAAAATTTGTTGAAAAAATAATTATGATGTTGATTTTTGTTTGTTTACAATTAAATCGTATTTCATGTTTATTCTTGTGTTTGGGAAGCATCCTTGCCCTTCTTCGGGTTACCAAGGAGGACCTTATGAATATGTGGAACAACACCTGCAGATGCAATTGTAATGTTGGAGAGTAATTGGTTCAATTCTTCATCATTACGAACGGCAAGCATGATGTGGCGTGGTGAAATACGTGTCTTCTTGTTATCACGAGCAGCGTTACCAGCAAGTTCGAGAACTTCGACAGTAAGATACTCAAGAACGGCGGCCATGAAGACTGGAGCACCAGCACCGACACGTTCACCATAACGGCCTTCACGAAGGAATCTGTGAAGACGGCCGACTGGGAACTGAAGGCCGGCACGGGAAGAACGTGTCTTTGGATGCTGGCGCTCGCCATCGACGGCTGTCTTTGTTGCTGTCTTCTTAACACCTTTCTTAGCTGGCATTATGAACTAATGAAGTTAAAACTTTTCCCGCCAAAATTGAATATCATTTGTAAAATGAATTCAAAATATATTCACAATTTTATGTGGTTCAAATTGGTATAAGATTTTCGCGGGTAAAATACTTCGATTTTGGCGGGATGCTTTCATGTGAATATTGTAGAATCAATTGAATCATGTGCAAACATTTTTCCTCATATCCTTTGGCCAAAGAATGTACAATCATCTAAAGAATATTATAAAAATGAGTGATACATTAACTATTATTTTGTTTAATTGTACAACATTCTATAGATGTTAATCATATAGACATAGTATTGAGAGAAAATATGAAATGATTGCATCACATTTACAAGAAACATGTTAAATTAATACATAAATATTTTAATACATTAAAAAATAAAGAGTTAATGTCCTTTTGAAGTTAACTCAATACTTTTTTCTCTTGATACAAGTTCAATTGCTCCAGTTGGGCAAACGGATTCGCATAATCCGCATCCATTGCATTTATATGGGTCAACTTTATAAATCCAACGAGAAGGAACAATAGTTATTGCATCATTCGGGCATTGTGTGCATTTTCCGCACATAATGCAAGCCGAAGGATTCGTTAGATGATTAATTAGAGGATCTTCACAAGAATCTTCGATATCAAAAGAAGAATTATTTTCGCACCACTCTTTAATTGTCTTGTATCCATCTCTCCACATTGCAAATGACGTCTGTGCGTTGAGATGCTCAATTCCTTGTCCAGTTCTCTTGATTTCGCTTGGATCAATAACACAAAAAGTGAATCCTTTGGCGAAATTCTTGAGAGCTTCTTTTTTGTTCTTTGCGCCATAACAGATTGATTTGGAGTATCCCATACCATTTAAGACAAGTAAAGAATTCTTTCCGAGTTTCTTAGCTTTATCAAAATCTTCTGATTCTTCACAATAAATTTCAACAAAATCTACAATGGGACTTATTTGATTGAAATCTTTTTCTAAAGTTTCAGAATCTCCTCTTAATTGTGCAGCAATAATTGAGTTTTGGAACTCCTTCTTGAGAGTATTGATAATTTGAATTGCATCATTCATTTTCAAGTGCGCCTTGAAAGAAACGGGTTTTCCTTTCTTGTAAGTCCTGTTTCTGTTCTTTTCGTTGCCAATTCCGATGATGATACCTCCCCAACCTTGGCTCAGGTATTTCTTGCATGCATATAAGTTCTCTGTGAAAGGAGAAGCACCTGCAATAAATGGAGATGAAACAACTTTTTTGCCTTCAAATGAAACAGAAATATTGGCTGGTCTGTGGTTGTATTCGAATGAATTAACATTCGAAACCAAATCATTTTCTGCAATTGGAATTTCTTCACCCACCAAGAAAGCATGGCAACGCATTGCAGCGTTCTTTCCTGATGCTGATGCTTGAACAGCTGTTGTATTTTTACCTCTGGCTTGTCCGCAAACGAAAATTTTGTTGGATTCTGTTCCTTCTTTGATTGTTGAGCGTTGTCCAAGGGCTCCAACAACAATATCGACATCTTTCCAGACTAGGTCTGCGTTAGGAATGGCTTGAAGAGATGCATCAAGCTGAGAACAATCAATCACAATTTTTCCATTTTGATCTTTTTCTAATTTTTCAATAGAAACTCTTGGAACGACTGAAACTCCAAGGCATGTCATTGCACCGCGCTCTTCTGGTGATAATGGAGCTTAATCGACTGTACGACGATAAAAGATTGTAACATATTTAGCACCGTACTTTGAAGCTACGTTTGCAACATCTACAGCAACGCCACCACATCCATTTATGACAACAACTTTATCTTTGAATGTATCTGTTGGAAGATGGAAAAATTCATTTGGTGTAATTGCTAATTCTTTGCCTGGACAGTTCATTCTTGTAATATTTTGAGATCTGATAGCGTATATAACTGCATCATAATCATTTTCCATAGATTTTTCGAAGGTTGTATTTAATTTGATTTCTGTATCACCAACAATCTTCAATAACTCGAGATCCATTTGAATTACATCACCTGGGAATCTATATTTTGGAATTAATTGTATATCTCCACCAACTTCAGAATTTTTCTCGAAAATTGTAACTTTGTGGCCGCGTGATGCTAAACATGTAGCTGCAGAAAGTCCTGAAGGTCCACCACCAACAATTGCAATTTTTTTGCCTGTAGGATCGTTTTTCTTGATCAATTCTCTGAAGCGGCCTTCCTTGCATGCGCGTCTAATAATTTCTGCTTGTAGTGCTGGAATGTTAATGGATGCATCAAGTTTAGAGCGTGAGCAACGAGACATACAATGTGTAACTGGACAAACAACACCACAAACAGATCCAAGTGGCTGTTTCGAGTAGATACAAAGTGCAGCGTAGTCCATATCGGATGGTTCACCTCCCATGGCAGCATTAATAAACTCTGATGGGTCAACTTTGCATGGGCATTCTTGGTTACATGGTTTTTCAGAGCATTGAAGGCATTTATCTAACTCAGATCTGAAATGTGGAGGATTCAAATATCTATAGCCCTTTTTGGCATCGATTTTAGAAGGAATTGGAACAAACATTATTAATTTCTGTCAAAGATTTTATAATTTTTATTATAAATTTATGTGAGTTATCTGCTCTTTTCGGTATCGATGATATCAAAACATAGTGTACGTTACATAATTAAGTTTTCTGAGATTATTGAATTATTATCGTAATTTTTCAATACAATTTTGAAGCGATACAATTAATGATGTGATTTAGGATCTTGTGGTTAGAGCATAGAAAAAGATCTATACTATAGCAGGATGTATTTTAAATTGTTCTTTAAAATGACCCACTTTACTCGAAAATGCAAATTTAAACCCTTATTCCTATTTTCAAGGCGCATTCAAAGACAAATAAAGTAATAGTGGGTTATAATATATGTGAATAGTAATATATCATTGGAAATTCAATGAATATTTTGAATTTCCTTTGTTCATCTCTAAATGGCATAAAATAGTTAGTAATTGCATCACTTACGCTATCAAAATGCGTAAATACGATTTCCAGTATTCAAAACTAATTTGAAATGAAATTCAAAATAAAATATGATTATTTATAAATTACAACCGACATAGAGTAGATTAGTGTAAATTAAAAAATCTAATTAGTAATAAGTATAACAAACATTTTAGAAAATCGCCAAATTAATATTTCATTTTTCTTTTTCTTCATCATCAGAATAATAATATTCGTATTCCACGATTTCCTCTTCTTCAGGATGGTTCTTGACTTGTTTTGGAGGAGGTGGAGTTGGTTGATGATTTGTCCTTGGTTCTTCGTATTCTGCAGTAACTCCGTACAAGAAAATCTTCTTTACCTTCTTCTGCTTTTGTTTTCTCTTTGCTTCATTAACTGCTTCTTGTAAATCTTTGATTCTTTGATCATACATTTTTCTCTTTTTGCCAAGCTCAACCTTCTTTGTTGATAAGTTGTATTTAATAGTTGATAGCTTTTTCTTAAGTTGCTCGGCTTTGTTTGCAAGAGTAATGTATTGTGGCTGTTCATCAAGCATATCATCATTTTTCTTGATATATTCGTCTTCTATATCTAAAAGGCGATTGTATTCATCTCTCAGTTCTGCAATTTTATCTTGTTGTTCAATGATCCTTGATGTTTCTTCAGATGATGTAATTTGATCAAGTTGAGAAACAACATTATTGAGTTTGTACGTTGAATCGTTAAGAGATTTGCGAAGGTCTTCAATTTCATCTTGATATTCTTGAATTTGGTCTTCAAGACGAAGTTTATTTGCTTCACAATAAATTCTTCGAAGCTGAGCAATTTGAGAGCATGCTTCTTCGTATTCAATTTGGCTTTGTTTAACCATTTGAGCAAAATCTATATGCTTATTTTCATTAAAACGTGGAGATTCAAGTGAATAATCTCCTGCATTGCTGCGAGGAGATCTTGGTGAGTTGTTTTGTTGAGTTGGAGAACCTACAGGTGAAGGGGGTTCTTCTGCAAGTTTGAGTTTTTCATATTGTTGTTTTAACGGTAATAATTCTTTCTGAATATTTGAGATTTCAAGCTTTAACGCTCTCCTCTGTTGATCTAAGTACTCTGGTGTAAGAAATTCTAACGCTTCAGGAGTTTTTGGCTCATTTGACATCTGATTTTTTATGAACATTCTGCGAACCATTGGATCAAGTGCCTTTTTACGTGGTGAACGAGCCGATGATTCTAAAGAAGGTGGGAAAAGTCGAGGATTTGCAATTGATTTGATCCTTTGCTGTGTTGACATCTGTTTCTTTGAATATCAACGGATTTTACCTCCACAAGATTTTACATATTCTTTTGCAATGTTAATAATTGAGTCACTGTGTAGTTCTAAAAAATCTTATTTTTTAAGATGCATTCCTTTATTTTCCAATTTTTATTTCAAAAATTATGCATTTTTAAGTTATTTGCATCCAAAAATGATATTTTTGGATCTGCTCATTCATTTGTTGTTATAACAATGGAAATTACAAATTGATTTTAGATTCTTGAAGAATGAGATCTTAGATTAAGACAACATTCTGCTTCACTGATGTTCTTTAATATCTCAATTCAAAACAACTAATTCTATGAAATCATGAAAATGATTAAGCGTTGCGTGAATTTCTGCCATCATGATATCATAATTATGATCAAGTACATTTACTTAAGAAATTCCGAATACATTTTATGAGGAAAAGTGAAAAGTGAAGAATATACGAGAAGATTAGAATCAATAGTTTGAATTATCAATGTTCAAGTAAATCATAAGCTTAAATTTCAGGGTGGGATAGTTTAGAAAGTTTCCAAAAAGCCTAATCTCAGAAATGAACATCAAGTAGTATATGATGCGGGTTTTGTGACTTTTTTTGTAATCGTAAGAATTCATACATTTTTGAATGATTTTTGAACATACTTCCGAATAGCAGATTTTAAAAATTTATGAATAATTTATAAAAAGTTTTTATTCCTACAATTCCTATATTACCATTAATAAAAAGAATATATTTTTGACGAAGTGAAGATTCGCACTTCGTCACAAAACTCCGAAAAAATAAAGTTAGATTTTTTTATTTAATATAAAATGTATGGAAAAAGAATAATATCTGATTTTGAACATTATTTGATTGATTTACTAATTGATCCACAAAGCTGTTGTAAAATTAATTTTGAATTCAATGAGTTATATCAAAAATAAAATTCTTGAATAGAGTAAAAAAATTTAAATAATTTATTTAAATATTTTCTTCTGACATTTTTGAATAATTTATTTTTTTAATTCGTAAGAAAATGAGTGGATCAAGATTCGTAACCGTCAATCAATTAATGGATGCTCTTTCACCAATTCTTGAAAATGTTAAACAAGTAGATGTTTATTTCGATGATTATGTAGAAAGTTTATATTATAAAGGTAAACATAATATTAAACCCATTGCTTTTGCATTTGATAATAAATTAATTGAAAATGCAAAATTTGGGAATTAATTCCAGATATTGAATATATAACGAATATAACTAATAAATGGTTCAAACGAATTCCAACCACAAAAGTTCTTTGTAAATTAATGATCAAAACCGAGGCCAAAGAATTTCATGAATTTACATATCATCCAAATAAAGTTTCAGAACTAGAAAATGAAAAACTTCAGAAAAAATTAAACGATAGACTTTCAAATGATCGTATTGAAAAAATAAATAAACTAGCAGAAGTTGCATTTAATAATGAAATATTTGATGAATATAACCTTGAACTCAGTGATGGGCTTTAGCCCTGGGCACTTTGTGCCTTGGACTTTAAGTCCTGGACTTTAAGGACCCGGGCTCAACGAGTCATGATTTATGAAATCAATTATTTGATTCATTCTTTCTTCAATAATTTCTATTCTTTTTGTTAAATCATCTATTTTCATTAATGAGGTGATTCTTGATTGAGGAATAGATTTTAAACTAACAACACCTTTTATTTTTGAAATTTTGAATCCATGACCCTCCGGGTCTTGGACTCTGTCCTCAACTTTAAACATTTTATTCAATTTACATGTTGTCAATTCTTCAAATAATTTTTTATTATTAGCATAATAGTCATTAAATTCTTCAACAGATGAAAAAATTTTTATTTCAGTAATTGGTTTAACAACGTTTATTTTTTGTTGAACATTTTCACTTTCATTTATTTCTTCCTCCTCTGTTTCATTTATTCTTAAAATTGGTTTCATTTATCATTAAATAAAAATTAGAATATAAGTGATGAAATATATTTTTTAATTAATATTAAATCAGAAATGGCTGCAGGATTCTTTAAAAAATTATGGGATGGAATTAAGAAAGCAGCAAGATGGGTTCATCAGAAAGTAATAAAACCCATTGCAAACTTTTTGGCACCAGTAGCGAAAACGGCAGGAACTATCATAGGTGGCGTATTAGGTACTAAAGCAGGTAATCCGGCGATGGGAGCACAAGTAGGTAACGCAGTTGGTGGAATTGCTGAAGGAATACTTAATAAAATAGGAGGTAAATAGTGGAAAAATAAATAAATATTATTTTTATCTTAGTATCGGTTGTAGTCTTTGATAAACTTTTTCTCCTTTATTTAAAATTTCTCTTATTGGGGCAGCTTTTGGTGTTATTGATTCAGCAACGTCACTAATTGCTTCTTTATTCTTAAATATCCAATTTGCTCCTTTCTTCATTGTTTCCCAAACTTTATGCGCTCCTCTTTTTACTTTATCCCACAGTTTCTTAAAGAATCCTGCAGCCATAGTTGATTATTTCATTAAAATTAAAAATTCATTTTCATCTTTTAATTTTGATTTTTTATTTATTAATAAATGACGACTAACTATTTAGTGCCAAACACCAAACCGATTAATGGAAATGTGTTTCATTCATTCGAAAAGATAAATGAAATATTCGCAAAGAATGATGGAAGAAGATATTATAGAGAACTTGAAAGTTCATGCTATGACTCTGATGCTCCATATTTTGATGATAAACAAACTCATTTAAGAATTACAAATCCGGCTCATGATGTGAACCAATTAGGTGACACATATATTAAACGCAAAGTTAAAGCAACTCTAGTTTCAAATAAAGCTTTCACATGTGATGCCGCTTTTAAATGCATGCGTTTATTCGTTGGTTATAAATCATCAAATCAAAGCTTTAAACAATTAGAAGTAGAAACTGAAAGAGGTGATGCCGGTTATCTTCAAATGGATTGCGCCCGTGAATCTTTCGCATTTGCAACATATAAACCAAAATCAGAAAGGAAAGTTAAAAAGTTTGTTCATTCGTTATATAATAATGTTCAAAAATATGATAACTCAGTATGTGGTAAATATATTGACCCTTCAGAAGTTTTCAAGAATGCAAATGAAGAAGTTGATATCACTTTTGATATGATTATTCCGGTAAATGATTTGTTAGCATTTCAGGCGTTCGATGATTATCCTAAATCATTTGGTGAAATCATTCTTAAATATTATGTTTTCAGGGATACTTTAGTATTTTGTCAGGTTGACCCGTTAAGAGTTGCTGATTTACAAAATTACGTTTATGAAAAGATAACTGATGAAAATTATGAAAAGATTATGAATCATGTTTATAAATATGATCGCAAATTCCAACAAATCGGACTTCCTGCCAAATTAATTACAAGCTTAGCCGCTACATCTGCTGACGCAACTGTTGATGACGTTATTATTTCATGCACAAAGATGGAAGTTTTAGAGGATAAATGCATTACACCAGGATACGGTTTAATTGAAGAATCAGTTAAAGCAATACCACGTTTATTCAGTAAGGAAGATCCATTCATGATTCCAGCTCAACATATTGACGTTCGTTCACTAAATGGAGGTTGCATCACTCCTGAAGGTATCAGTTCAGATTTCTCATACGCTCTTCATAATGTTACAGATGTTGTGTTAACATTTCCGAAGAATGCAATGCAAAGAACGGTTTTAGAAAATCCAATGCTTCGAGGTCTTCAGGTCACTATAGATTCCAGAAACTTCCCCGATCAAGCGATGACAACAGTGGGCGACATATTCTTTACACGTATGCTTCAAGCTTCTGATTTAGATGGAGTGAATGAATGCACAGAAGAATACGAGGACTCATTAACTAGACCACTGAATGATGATGATGGCACACCATTAGCTAGAACATGGAAAGACCAAACTTCATTCTTATGCACTATTCCAGTTCAACGTGATGGAGCGGGTATATTCTTTGATGGATTAGAAACTTTCAACTCACAAGTTACAGTACAAGTGAAAGCTTATCCAATCATTCAGGGTGTAAATGACACTTACTGTTCAAAGGTGACAAATCCTCCTCAGGTTTGGTTTACTAGGACTACATATTGGACATGGACACCGGATGAAGGTTTGAAATATCATCCAACAGGTACACCACCGCAGTATAGAAGTTCATATGATGAAATATTGATGAATAGAAATGTTTAAAATTATAAATTTATTTTTGATTAAATGGATTTAAACTCATCCACCCCTTATGAAGAATTAGCAGGAGTATATAATACATACGTAGATGATATGATTAATGAAGCATTGAGTGATAATAGAAATGCTCTATCTAAGGAAAAATTAATGAAAATTCCATATTCTGAATGTTACTTAAATTCAATCACTGCAGCAATTGGTAAACAAAATAAAGGTAAAATTAACGATATTAAAACAAATTATCATTATTGCTAACACTTCCCCTATTCACATGTGTTAATTTATATCAACCGTTCAGGTTCACCTTCAGATGATACATTTGAATCTTTAAAGCATTTAATCAAAATTCCAATTATTTATTTATCACAAGAAGAAGCAGAAGATTATTTAAAAAACTTTTTAATGTATAAAGAATTATATAATACAATCAAGAAGCAAGGATTAGAGGATAAAATTATTGATAAACAACGGGATGAATTATTTGAAACACTTTCTATTTCAAATTTTGATAGAGAATTTTTGCATTCACTCATTTTTCTAGATGATGCGGTGAAATCAAAACTAATAACAAATGAGAAATCATATTTTAATCAGTTATTAACTCAATGTCGACACATTCAGTGTTCATTCTTCATGGCTGTTCAATACTTCAAAGCATTAAGCACAAACATTAAATCAAATCTATCAACACTTTTCATTTTCAGTGGTTTTAGTCGTCAACAGTTGAACGTTATGCTTTATCAAGTGAATTTACCAATGAGCATTAATGAACTTTACACACAATATCAACAATTAGGTGAACATGGAAAAATAATAGTTGATTTAAATAAAGGTTCCATTAAATTCGAATAACTTTTTATAATTAATTTTTATTTTTTATTTATAATTAAACATGACAGAAATAGCAAATCTTCTACAGGTTCCATTAAAACAAGGGACAAACAAAAAGGGTGCATATAATAGAACTATGAAAGTTCCTGATGGAATGAAAGAATTAGTTCATATTGTTGCTGGTCTTCAAAAAAGATGTTAAACAAATGAGAAACGTTTTAACATTACCAGAAGCTCAAGCATATGCCAAACGTCAAGGTCCAAATTGGGAAGCACACGAAGCAGACATTACGGGTCCAAATGGAAAACCTGATGGTATAAATGAAGTTTTCGTTACTGATGGTCAAGGAAATATTAAAGTCATAAATGGTTACAAATTAACTATAACTGATTATCCTAAACGTAAAGCATATAATGAACGTTATCCTATGCAATTTGATGAAAATGGAAAAGCTGTTAAACAATACATTGGAGAAGGTGAAAATGGTCCAATTAATTCATACCGTTATAATCCATATTCTTATTTCAATGAAGAATTAAATGCTATTGAAGAGGGACCGGATGGATTACCACGATATGTTAATCAGTTTGATGGTCAATATGCAAATTTGAGACCTGAAATTCCAGCTAAGAAATTCTTTAAAGTTGCTTTATTCGATCCAGTGTTCAATGAACAGAAAGAAGCAATGAAAGCAGAATTTAAACCAATTCAAGTGGCAAGAATTTCTTCATCTTCACTTGCAGAAGCGTTCAAGGAATTGATAAAGAAACCACTTTATTCTCAACAAGGTTATAACTTTGATTTAATTAAAGAAAGTGATAGACGTAAATTAGAAAAATCAGATGGTTTTAAGAATGCATGTAATGAAATGATTAAAGATATTGTAAATGATGAAATAAGACTGGAAGAAACTCAAAGCAATATCAATAACATTATTGGTGCAGTTACAAAGAAAGTATAAGCAAACAATGATGAACCTTGGGATATTACCGTAACAACTAAATAAAACTTTAAATATATATTTTTCTTTTTTATTCAATTATAAATGAGAAGACGTTTCACAAGTCAAAAGAACACTAACGCAAAAGCAGAGATTACGGTTGGTTATAACGTAAATGATGATAAATCACGAATTATTCAAAATGTTAAAGTTAATGTTAGCCCTGAATTAACAAGGTCAGCAACTCAACCAAATTTATTAACTCGTGACTTACCGAAGAATGAGGAGAATGAAGAAAACCATGAGAATGGAGACCCAATCATTTTATCTGAACCCGGTAAAGAACCCGTTGAAATTCCCACTTATCCAACATACCCCCCACCTCTTTCATCAAACATCGAGAACCCAGGAATCTACGATTCCAGTCGCAATGCGCCATATAAAGTAGACATTAATTCTGAATTAATGAAAATTTACCGTGATATAATAACCGATAATTATGATTCAATAATAAATTTAATTGACCAATCCGGTTTAATTATTTTACCTTATGAATCATTAATTCACATTATCGCCATTCTTTGTGATGTTCAAGATTCAGACGTTAAGATTCAATTTTTCATAGATGATGAGGTTTCATGCTGTGGAACAGTTGCAAAAATAAATCCTATAAAGGATATTAGCACAATTAAGATATCAAAGAATGGAACAACAACTGAACTTCATTTAACTTATAATAACATTTATAATAAAATAGTTGATGAATATAAAATATCACTTGAAAAATTCTTTGTTAAGGCTATTTAATATTCAAGCATTAACATTATTGAATAATAATCCTTTGAATCATAATCAATAATAATTGACCTTTCACCAGTTTCTATCGTTTGTTTTATTTCTTTTTGTTCCCCACTATCTGGATCGGTCATTGTAATTGTTTTTGTTATAGTATCAGCTTTATCTTTAACTTCAATCTTTTTTCCATCGGGATATTTAAACCAAAATTCCAAAAATTCGATATTGTCAATCTGTTCATATTTTAATCTATCAATTGCATTTTTAATACCATCTGAAAATCTTATGAAATGGTCATTATATGGGTTTGATTGAACTAAATTTGAATGAAGTGAAATATAACCCGATGATGAATATGACATTGACTCATATTTTCTGAAAACACTAAAATTTATAACATGAATGAATTTCTTATTCGTTGAATTTATGAATTCTTGAGGTAATCTTATTCTAGTTTTATTTATCACTGGAAAATAACGCTTTACCATATTTTTAATCGTAATAAAAATGTCAATTATCAATATTATTTCGAATAATAACTGTGAATTAAATTTAACAGTTAGCGGAATTTATAATGTTACTCTCGTTTCTGTGAGTGGTAAATTTAATCCCATTCTTTTAGACCCTTCAGATTATATATCATTTATTAAAGATGACCTTGAAAAAACGTATGATATGTATATAAATAATGTGATAGCGAAATGGGATATTAACACGATTTTAAGTTATTTAAATGAATCATTTATCGTATGGTATGAAGAAAATTTTAAATCAAAACCCGATAAACTTTTTGAACTTGATGAAATAAATAACCTTATTAAATTTCCGCTGAAAATTAAATTTTGTACTCCTCATCTTCGTTCATTGTTGGGGATATTAAATTTTGAAAAAGATGTTGGGGATGTTTTGTATTCTGACACTGGTTCCAATTTCATTTTAATCAAATGTGATAAAGTTAATACCCCAATGAGATTTTCACATCAAACATTAGACCCTAACTCTTACCCATCAATACAAAACATTTTATCCATCAACTTAAACACATTTTCTTTATCATATCCGTTTCAATTATCCGGGAATTCATTTATTCTTCATTCAAAAGATTTATCAAATATTAAATTTAGAATAAGTGACCTATTTGATTGTGATTTAGAATTTATGAATGAAATATTATGGCAATTTCAAATAGAAAAAATAGCTGATGAGATAACAGATTAAATATTTATTTTTAAATCATAATAAATGATTAAACAACAGCAACCACAGCAACTTAAGACACAGACCATTACATACGCCATATATGCATATAATTCAAAGACGGCAGAACAAACGCAAAGGTTGAAATATGGAGATTTGGAGATAGTATTGAAAAATGACCATTTCGAATTCGTTTGCAAAGGTGGTGCAGTGATATCAAATATAAAAGAAATTTTATTTATGAATTCAAAAATTAAAGGTATAACGGATGATATAACATCAATTCCACCAGAAGAACAAAGATATTACGCATTAAATGCATTTCCTAAAGTTTTGAAGATTGGAAGATTTAATTTAAATGAGGAATTCATAAAAGGTTTCCTAAATGACATAATGAAGAAAGCGGATAAGGAATATGTGACTAGTGAATTAATGAAGAAAGCAGATAAGGAATATGTGGCTAGTGAGTTAATGAAGAAAGCAGATAAGGAATATGTGGTAAGTGAATTAATGAAGAAAGCAGATAAGGAATATGTGGTTAGTGAGTTAGAGGAGAAGGTAGATAAGGGACTTATGGCTAGTGAATTAATGAAGAAGGCAGATAAGGAATATGTTAATGAAAAAGATAATGAAATTAAAGAAAGGGTTGAATGGTATCATGAAAGGACATCAAAGATTTTAAAAACTAAAGCTGATACAGGATGGGTTTCAGAATGTTTAGACCTTAAAGCAGATAAAACTTATGTTAACGATGAGTTAGAGAAGAAAGCAAATAAGACTCATACACATCAATCCTTCACTACTGTTGCTATAGAAAGTATTGAAGGAACGGTTGACGTAACTGGTGGGGATGTATTATATTGTAAACCTCCTAACTTTCCACAAGGTTTAACATCGGATGACGACATAACGACGATGAGAAACATTAGATGTAAAGATGTTTATGTCATGAAGGATGAATATAATATTAAATTCACTGCTCAAGATTTATATGACAAGAAAGCAGACAAAACAGAGCTTCAAACATTAAAGACAGAAATACTTCAAACATTATATCCTATAGGCTCTATTTATACGTCAATGAACTCAACAAATCCCGCAAGTGTTTTAGGTTTTGGTACATGGCAGCAGATTGTAGACAAATTCTTATACTGTGCAAACTCTTCAAAGGAAACAGGTGGAAGTAAAACGATTTCAGGTGAAAATTTACCTGCACACAGTCACTACATAGATTTAAGCACATCTCAAGCAGGTTGGCATAAGCATAGATATTGGGATTGGTCAGGAATGACAAAAGGTAAAGGATATGATGTTAAAGATGATGTTAAATTTGCTATAAATTGTTACTGGGATGACACTCAGGGAGAAGGAAACCATACACATTTCGTTTCAGGATATACACAAACAACGGGACAAAGTAAAGATTACATGCCACCATTTATGACTGTATTCGCATGGTATAGAGTTCAATGAACGCTCAATGTTTGTGAAACAAACTTTAGGAGCTCCAAAAGAGCAAACGACATAATTTAAATTTTTATTTTAGTATAAATGAAGATTCTACCATATGGTGTTATTGGAAGAGATAAAGATGGAAACCCAATATTTGATCCAAAGTTAAAATTAAAGTTACTGACAAGACAACAACTTGAAAAGTTGCTGAAACCAAAACAGAATGAAAAATGAGAAAATGAGAAAATGAGAAAGAAAAAAATTTAAATTATGCAATTTTATTTTTATCATAAATGACCAAATTAATTAAGCCAACTATTTCTAAATTAATGTTACCAATGAAATCATTTCATGGAGTACTTATCCCAGGTTCTTCACAATTAGCCGGGGCAAGTGTTGTGACTCAAGGTGGAACATTAGCGAATCCATTCAAATTATTAACTAAAGATGAACTTAATAAAATGATGATAAAATAACTGATAACAAAATTTTATTTCACTACTACCATAAAAACAGGTGAAAAAACAGGTGATATCTCACCTAGCCGCTTTGCGGCTCTGACCCTTTGGGTCTCTTCACCTAAATTATATTTTAGGTCAAAGCTTCCACGAGAGAAAAGATTCCTCATTCGCTAAGGATTCCAAAAATGAAAAAATCATTGATTTCGGCTGAGAAAAAACAGCAAAACCCTTCTTCCACGGGAACAAAGAAATAAAGAAGAAATAAAGAAGAAATAAAGTAAATTTTTTATTTATTCCCGTGGAAGATAGAGCACTTTTATGATACTTTTTATTCACGACAAACAAGACAAATAAAGAAAATAAGAAAATACGGCGCTGTCGCGGTTCGAACCACAGACCTTGACCCCTCCATAACACCACCTTAGACCACTGTGCTACGTAGCCTGTCGACATAAGATTTTATAAATTGCATATTTGACGTAAATTTATTTCCCAGTTATTCAATAATTATTTATTTTTGAAGAACTAAAGGTGCTACCATGTTACCATGTGCTACCAGGTAATTCAACTTCTCTGAAAAAATGTGACAACATGACATTTTGACAACAACATGGGTTATTCAATAATTAATTATTTTTGAAGAACTAAAGGTGCTACCATGTTACCATGTGCTACCAGGTAATTCAACTTCTCTGAAAAAATGTGACAACATGACATTTTGACAACAACATGGGTTATTCAATAATTAATTATTTTTGAAGAACCTAAAAACCATGAGACTTTGTCTCCGGACTCTTTGAGTCACTTAACGATAAAATAAGTGATAACAAATTTTTATTTTTATCATAAATGAATACCCCACAAGCTCAAAATTTACCACGAATCATAACAAGGGAGGAAATGATAAAAATGATGCAAGAACATGTTAAAAATAACAAACCACTAAAATTGAGAAAATGTGGTTATGCAGTAATGATGGAAAGAGAGATGTTGTCGAAGAGGAATAAAAATTAAATTTGGATTGAGTTTAAAAATTCATCTTTATTAAATTCATCTCTTCCAATCAATTTATTTATTCTATTAAATTCTTTTATTTTTGCTTCACTCAGTTTAAGGATTGAACGGTAAGTTTCTAATTTTTCGATTATTTCTTTATCGTTTTCAGCCCCACCACATTGTGGCTTCTTTTTGTAATAACATATTTTTGATTTAATTCTGTTTAGTTTCTTTTTATATTCATCGTCTGGACTCTTGGCTGCTTTGTTGTCACTCATTTCTTACGAAATAAAAAAATTAAATATTATTTAAATATAATGGAGTAATAAAATAAATCGGAATTTCTATTAATTTATCGCCAACTTCAACTAATGCATTACCGTTAATATATCTAACAAATTCAGCTATTGTGTCAAATCTTCGTCTTCTTTTTGTCATTAATTTATCAGTTTTTCCATAATCGAGATGAATCAAAACTTTATCCCCTTGTTTAAAATTCATGAGCCCCGAATTAATTTGTTCACGTTTAACATCATTCAACCTTTCCATTTGCTTTCTAATATATTCCCATTCTTTTGAAATATCATTTTTCATTTCCACTGGTTTCATGTTTATAGTTCTATGCCATGTATTATTGTAATAATATACTAGCTGTTGTATGATGGAGTCATGATTTCCATCCCAGTATATCTGACCGTTAACCCCTAACACATCTCTAAGAGTTCTCATTACCGCATCAACTATTTTATTATGAAACGTATATGAAGAAGATGAGAAGTAAAAATTAATTTGTGGGAAATAATGAGCCATAGCTGCCTGAAATCCTTTATCACCATCACTCCTTATATTATCTACTCTTTCATGATCTAGTAAGTATTGAATAGCTCTTCTTGTTTCCTGTTCTGTTTTCCCTTTCACTGGAATGCAATATAAATATCTAGTGTTAATGTTAATGATGAATAAATAAGTAATGTTTCCTTTTGAATATTCCAGATGATCGATTTCGTATGAATATGGATATGGTGCAAATGAAGGGCGACTGAATTTTTTCTTTAACGGTTGAATTTTCGGGTCAATTGGTTTATTTAATATCTTGAAATCCTTTTTAAAATCTTTTTGCTTCTTTAATGTTTGAAATGGATATAATAAAGTGAATGATGAAGGATTAACTGAAGGAGGAGGTACTGTCGTTGGAGGTACTGTCGTTGGAGGTACTGTCGATGGAGGTTTTGGTGTTGTAAGTGGTTTAATTTTATCTGCTTTGATTTTGGATGATGAAGTTTTGGATTTGACACCCACTTTCATTAATTCTGGATGTATTCTGTTCATTTGTTTTAAATATGCTGTATATAAAGGTTTGATATACTTTCCCGCTTCGAGTTTATGTTGAAGGATGATTTCCAAAAGTTGATCTTCATTTAAAAGTCGGGCTGAATATGGTTTAACTAATGAATCATAAATTAAAGCTTGTGCATCATTTATGGTCTGAAGGACCTGGGCGTTTTGTACCTTTTGTGGCTCGGGATTATATAAATTATATAATTCATCAATATCTTTTTTTGTTAATACTTTATTTTTGAAATCTTTCAACTGTTTAAGTTGTGATTTAGTTTTTCCCTTTGTATATTCATTATTTTTAATTTTGTCTTTAATTTTAGAAATTATTTTATCATGATATTTCAAAATTTCATTTTTATAATACGAATAATAATAATCCATATCATCACCCGTTATATTTTTATTATGTTTTTGGAGATATGCTTTTAAATCATAATAATCAAGAAAATTTTGATTAAATACTAAATCATCAATTAAAATTTTTAAATCTGTGTTATCCATTTATATAAAAATAAAATAAATGTTTTAAGGGTGCCCACCTCTTTGAATCATAGTATCAAAACCATCATTTACATATTGAATCACATCATTAACGGTTCCTTTTGTCTCTTCTGTGGCATTTTATTAAAAATAAAATAAATGTATTAAATAAATGGCATACAACATCCATTTTCACAACATACAGCCTTAGTGTGTGCTCCTGTTAATGCAGTCTTACCGATTGTTAAGCGAGTCATTGACCCGTTTTTAAGTTGTAAATTAATATTCTGACCATCGAAAATAACTTTATCATTTATTATATCCAAATAATTTTTAGGTGTTAATTGTTTATTTTGCCTTAAACTAACACCTTTCATTTTTTGTGCAATCTTTTTGAAGGAGTCTTCACCTATCACTCCGTTGAATGAAGTATAACATTTAGGACATAAAGCAACCATGTTATCACCTTGTTTCTCAATTGCTAAACCCAATAATTTTTTCTCATGTGCTTTTTCTTCAACTTTATTATTTAATTTAGGTTTAAATTTCTCATCAAAACAGAAGAAATCAAATGGTGCGAATTTGAAAATGTTTTTATCATAAAATTTTTTATCGGTAACAATCACCTGAAATGCTTGAGTGTTAGGAAGATTTGGATCGCCAGCGATTGCCCAATAAGATGAATCAGTATCACCTTCAATGAAATGAAAACGATTAACATCCAAGCATTTATACATAAAATCATAAATGAAAACCAAATACCAGTATTTTGCGTTATCTAAAGTAAAAAATGCCTCTTGTAAACATGTATCACATCTATAAAATCTATCTTTGAGCATCACTTGATACGTATCCTCTCCTATTTCTCTTATGTTTTTAAACTTATTTGACATACATGCAACGCGTGCCTTCTGTGTATTCATTATTTTAGTCTTTGCATAATTTTGTGTATTCATTGCATCGTAACCATATGATCCATTAAGCGAAATCTTGCAAAATAAACTTTTTCCTTTATTTCCTTCTAATTCAGCCTTTTGTCTTTCGTTCATAAATTCGTTCGCAAATTCATTAAAACAAGTGTTTTTAGTAAATGTTAAAATTGATTGAATGTCATCAATGATAAAATTAAATCTATCTATTAGATACCATAGATAATAAGAAGAAAATGGTTGATATTGGTTGTGTGTTGATGCTAACTGAGTTAATTTTCTCTGTTTCTGGTCAACTGGTAGATTGTTTGATTTCATGTAATTATACATAAAACTACCAATTGTTTTTTCATCTGTGATAATATCTAAGTTTCTTATTATCGGTAAAAAGTTTATGTAATCATTAATGTATTTTTCATCAATGTGACCCTTTACTTCAGCCACGAATAAAGTATTTTTCTTTCTAATAATTCCCAGTGCTTTTGCTTTCTTTGTTGCTGTATCACAAATGATAACTCCATTCAATCTTCCCGGCATATACATTTTATGGTCAGTATATTGAATGAAATCATGAGGATTAGATGAAAATGATGAAGGATATAATGAATTAAAGTCAACACCAACGAAATGAGTCATGATGTTGGTGGTGTCCTCATTTGATACAGTTTTAGTTTCTGGATTATATGAAAGTTTATTAATGTGCGTGATTCCTTTAAGATTTACTCTATGTTGAACATTTGATAACCCACCAGTAATTCCATTACGGAGGATGTGATAAGCTTCAACTGAATCTAAAGTCATTGGTAAATTATTTTTTAATGCGTAATTTCTTAAATTGATTCTTAAACGTTGATCATCTTCATCTTTGTTTGATTTCACAACATTGCAATAACAACACATTAACTGACAATTTTCTTTAGTATGTGGTTTTTCATTATCTATTCTATCTAATGTTGGTTTATTAGCATATGTAAACGCTTTACCACACATTTTACATTTAGATGAAAGGATTAAATCGTGATAGTATTGAAAATCATCCATTGAAACATTATTTTTAGTATCCCTTTCTGCTTTTTCATCTTGTTTCTTATATGCTTCAATTTTATATTTCCAATACTTTTTCGTTAATTCAAAACTTGATTCTATCTCTTCCTCAGGATATTTTTCATTAGGATTAAAGTCTTTATATGCTAAAGCGTAACGAATCATTGAAGCATTCGATGATAAAGAAAGATTATGAAGCATATCAATTTTATAAACAAATGTTTCTTCAATAATTTTATCGATTGGGTCAATCATAATTTCAACATCTTTATTGCAATAATGAATAAAATATTCTAATCTATTCTTAAAATTTTTAGCATCATTGAGATATATTTGATAATCACTATCTGATATAGTTTCTTGGGTTAATGCTGAATAAAATGAATCTTTCGTGAATGGTTCCACTTTATATAATTCTTCTTCGTAATTCTCCCATGTGATAAATTGATAAGGGAAAAAGGATTTAACACGTGTTTTATTGTTTCCGAAATCTTGAGTGAATTGGTCCAATGTTCCACCCGCTATATAATTTCTGATGTCAATAAATCTCAATTCATATGGAATGTTTGTTTTCTTTACAATGACTTGCTTAAATTGTGAAGAAGAACCCAGCATTGATTTTATTTTCCATTTTGCAGTGTTTAAATCACGAAGAATTAAATTTAAATCAAACTTTCCCGAATTAAAACCTATGATATTCACTTTATTGAATTCCTCATCTAGAAGTTCTTTAAATGCTTCCTTCTGTTTCTCATTTAATGTCGTTTGCGGCTTCAATAATTCTTCATATTGTTCAATATTTGATTTAGCAACTAATGAACAGGTTGAAAATAAAAACTCAATCCAATCAGAGATGAACGAATCACTCGAAGTTAAGCAAAAATTCCTCGTAAATGTTTTATCACGGTCTACGACCTCGCCGCTTCGGTCTGAAAGACCTTCAGGACTCAAAGAGTCCGTTTGCGGCTTTATTTTGACAGTTGATGATACCATAAATGGTTTTAAGTAAGCGTTCAAAGTTGCACATTCAGAAAGTTGAAGTTCTTCTTTAGTCTCTAATGTTTCGAAGTCAAAAGTAATATAATATCTTGTTGGTTTATAATATTCCTGCAAATTATGTGCTAATAGCCATTGATATATCTTCTGTTTCGTGATATGTGGTGCATATGGTTGTTGTGTGTTTTGCAATTGAACGTCTTGAATTAATCTTCCATTATTTTCTTTACATTTCTCACAATGTTTTAAAAATCTTCTTTGGTTTTTCCTTTCTGGATCATCACGGATAGAATATACTTCTTCTTTGCAATATGGACAAACTTTATAGCCGGTGAGTGCTTCAACGTCTGTTATTCTGTCAGCGTGAAGTTTTCCACATGGACTCTGTGTTAATAAAATATTTACTGTTTCAAATTCTGGATCTATCATTATTGATTCCACTAATGGAAAGTCTACCTTGTTAATGTCTACGTCTTCTGGTTGAGGGTCACAATAATAAAAATCAATATTAACGTTTAACATTCTTGCTAACCTCTCACTTTCTGATGAAATGTCAAACCCTTCATATGCATCTATTGCTTCATTTAAATAGCTTCTACGAGTTTTAGGATTAACACCATCAGGAATGTTATAGAAGCGTTTAAATAACCTTCTACCTTCTGCTCTAATTTGATTATCATTCATTTTAGCTGTTCCATTTTTGTTCATTTATGTAAGAATAAAAATTAAAAAAATAAATAAAAATAAAGTTTATTTTTTAAAGCCCATAAAATGAATTAAGAACACATAAATTTTTATCATCCGCGACGTGACGAATACATTTTAATTTACTCAAGAATGCGTACCCTGATACATTAAATCTAATTCCTGTCTTATTTAATTTCACAACTTTGAAAAGGAATGTATGAATAGCTATAAAATGATGAGATGATGTTTTATGGGTTGCTTCCATTTTTTCTGAAATAAATGAATAAATATAATGTTTATAAGTTTTCATATCTTTTATGTTCTTAATAACGAATGGTATAGACCTTTCAACTTCATCTTCCTTCGGTGCTGTTCTTTCATATGAAACATTATTGGTATCTTCAATAATGAAACCACAATCGCATAAAATTTTATATGTACCAATTGTTTCTTTTGATATTTTATCTAATAAATCAAAAACTTTATCAACACCTGTGCATTTATTTAAATAATAATTTGTGTAAATATCATGGTCTTCTTTCTTAATCGTATTTGTTGCATATGTCACATTTTTCAGTGCTTTTTTGAATTTTCAGAATCAAGGAGGAGGTGAAAGTAAATACAGGGTATTCTTCATTATCAATAAATTGTAACTTATGTTTATGAATAAATTTTGTGCCTTCTTCTGAAAGTGTTTCGTCTATTTCACCATCTAATAAATTTTGTGTTGATTCTGAGACATAATTTTTATATCTTTCTTCATGAGATTTCTGAACTTCTGATTCTGAAGCTGGGATATTCATTAAACCCTCTACTTCATTTTCATTATATTTTTCAACTTCTCTTAATTCCTTAATTTTTCATCTATTTCATCTCTTATTTTTTTCAGTCTTTCAATTTCATCATATTCATCATCTTTAATTCGTTCTTCATAATATTCAGGGAAAACATCAGGTTCTTTAGGTTTTTCTTTTTCAGATGTAGGATATAAGAAATTTAAAACATCATCTTTATTCATTTTTCCATCATAATCAAATCATTTAAAACTCGCAAATTTTTGACAATTTCTTAAATAATATTTATTAACTTCATAACTCGCCTCCTCTAATATATCCTTTATTTCCTCGTTTGTGAATCCCAATTTTTTAACGTCGTTAGTTTTGACGCTCATTTCATACAAAATAAAAAATAAATTATTCAAAAATGTAAGACATGAATTTTTAAAGTTTATTTTTTTATTTTTTTTATTTTTTTTATTTTATTATGTATGGGTTTAGTGAAAATTTCTTACGATTCTGAAAATTTTTAAATCTTGATTTATTCAAAAACGTAAGAATAAAAACCGTAAAAATCATACATTTTTTACTTCATATGTAAAAAAAAAATGATACAAAATCGCTCAAAAATGTATGAATTCTTACGTTTACAAAAAAAGTCACAAAACCCGCATCATATACTACTACATCAACGAATTTAACAACTTTATTGAAAATACCTTGTAATTTTAGAACACTAGCGCGTGCAATCCAAAGGTTATATGTATCTAAAGAAAGAACTTCAATAATAAATTTGTTATTTTGTACGTTTTCTTTTGTGAAAAAAAAAATTAATAAAAATAAATGCCAAAGGAAGGTCACAAAGGAGGCGATGAGTTTGTGCTTATGCGCCAAATTTACGACAACTTACAATACCTAAACTACGAGACAGATTTTGATCCCATCAAAAGAAAACTTCCTTATTTAACACCGATTTATTTTGCTGTCCAACAGAAAAGTCCCAAAGAACAGTTTGATTACTTTGCTGGACTTTGTGTTTGGATGATGCAAACTTTTAACGGCAGCCAAATCGAAACACCATCAGATTACGATCAACCAGCAACTGTTACAGACAACATTTTCAATAATCTTAACGGCCTTGGTATCAAAGTTTCTTTCCAGCCGGCCAAGCTTATTTCTGGCCACGGCTCTCATTGCTGCCTCATTCTTGATGCTTTATGCAGAATGTCCCTCAAGAAAAAGGGTTTCAGCCCATCATCATTCAGAGTTGTTAGCGGCCTCGGCGGAAAAGACGATGAAGTCGAAGTCCGTGGCGAGGACGATGAAGACGATATCGTTGATGATGTCGTAGACGTCCAAGAGGATGAAGACAAAGAAAACGATGCTATTATTACAGACTATGGAAATGACCCCCAATCGAAGGTTATCGATTCGTTAGAATTAAAAGCTGAAGCAGAACGCGTTGCACCACGCTTACAGATCCGTATTCCAGCAGAGAAGAGTGATTGGAGAACTCACTTCTCTCAAATGAATACACATCAAAAGACGATTACTGATATTATGACTCAGCTTAGCCCAATCCTTACAAAGGTTGGCGCTGATGTCACACAAGCTATTGATGCTATCGAAAACCGTGAAAAGATGCTTAACAATCGTTTCCAGACAAGCGTAGTTGATTATGCAGAGCGTGCAAAGCAGCTTGAAACTGTCGAAAAGAAATATCATGAACGCGTTACTACAGTCAACAATCTTAAGACAGCTTTGAATGATGTTATCGATAAGCTTAATAACACGAAGCAAAATCTCGACGAGAAACAGAAAGAAGTTTCTGATAACTCACCACTCATGAATATTAAGACTGCCTTAGCTAAATTAAAGGAGGATATCAAGCAGCTTGAACTTCGCTCAGCTATTCTCCAGCGTTCACTTTCTCAGGCTTGGTTAGAAGAAAAAGATGTACAGTAACACCATTTAAATTAAAGATATTTTGATTTTTAATTACGTTTTTTTACTATTCTTTTATACACTCTTAAGAATTTAATGAAATTATTTGAAATTTTGCTATAAATCAAAAAATGTATCTATAAAATTGTTTTCTATATGGTACATGTATCTTATATCGATATAAATCCTCCCGGTAACAATCAATAATGTTCATTACAACAATAAATTAAGGAAATCCTTTGCCAAAATGAAAATCATTTTGACTTATTGGTTTGTATATTAATAATGTAAGGAGGATTATAAAAAAATTCTCCAAAAAAAAAATGAGTAACTTTGCACCTTTTATTCAAGTCAACCTGGACTACTCTCTTTTGCAACAGGCGTTTGACAGTATTAACCAGAAGTTGAAAGAACATGACCAGAAATTCGAAGAAATGAACAAAATAATCATTTCAAAGACAGATAATTTTGATTTTTTACAATACAAGAATAACTCTGAGCAAGGTCTCGCCAAACTCAATAACGAAGAGCAACAGATGAGCGAGAAACACGAAAAACTTAATAATAATTTCGAAAATAAAATAACGGAAATTGAGCAATTACTTAAAAATATACAGAAAGAGACGATAGAGAATGTCAAAATGGAATTATCAGCGGAGGGCGCACTTCCTACAACTGGCGAAAGGCAAGGCTTTGGAAATCTTGAAGATATCGCCAAAAGACTCGAAATTGTAGAATCTAAACTGCAAGCTGCACAACGTGATACTCATACAACAGATAATACGGTCCAGCAAATCATAAATCAATTTGCACAATTAAATCAGCCACAAAATCTTCGTGGAAAGCAAGTTAAAGAGAATACCCCTATTGATTCCATCAAGAATACAATTTCTACAGTCAATAACAAGTTTGATCAATTGTTTAACTCTCTTCCAACTGGAAATTCTTCAGAATATTCTGCTCGTGACTTCGATGGAGCTTCAAATAATGAAAATGGAGAGTCTCAAAACGGGCCACAAAATACTGTGATCAATAATACAACTCTTCTTCCTCATGAAATTTCATATCCTTATGAAGTTGACTTTTCAGCTATGAGACCATCTCCATCAACAGTATACCATATTAATAATGATCCTGAACTTCCTCCACTTCATACATTCACTAATTTATCAGAACCCATTGAATATATTTACGAATTAATTCCATCTCTTCAAGCAATTTTAATTGGCCTCAGAGAAGGAATTTTAAACAATCAGAACTCTGTGGAGAATGGAGGTGGAGTAGTTACAAGGGATACTATTGATAATATGTATCAGAAACTCGCCAGTGCCATGAAAGAACTCGTTGCAGAAGTCGGCCAATTAAAGGAAGAAATCTCTAAAACAGCTTCAATTGATGATGTCAACGCTGCCTTGGCAAGCATTTCTGTGCAAGATCTCCCAGAGACGGCTGTTGGAGTTGTCCACTGCATGACGTGTGGTCGAGAAATGTCCCAAGTTGCAGGCGCACTTTCATATGTAGATGCGGTGAAAACTCTTGGAAGAGCTCCAACTTCTTACGCAACGAAATCGAAGGGAATAAGTGGACTAGGAATGCAATTTTCTGGAAGAAACACATTCGATTCTGCTATATGCGAAAGCCCACGATCTGTGAAATCATCAAGAGCTTCTTCAAATATCAAAGTTACCAGAAAATGAAATTTATTTCAAAAAAAATGTTTTTTGTTTTGTTATTTTTTGTTTTATTCTTGTATACTAAAGATGTATATATTTCTTACATAATTTGCTATCGCTTTCGCAGTTAATTTAAAACAAAATATAGTCAGGAGAAAAAGGTGTAAACCGGGCAAAAAGGTGTAAACCTTAAATCTTTAGGGCTAAAAGTAGGAAAGATATTGTCCCCATATGTGTGCGATCTGGGAGGTATGATTAGTTCAAAAAAATTGAAATAGATTTAATAATGAGATATTAGCTATTATATGACAACATATATAAATAATAACATAAATAGGTTCCTTATATTATGACAATTATAATTCTTTGAAGAAAATGGATATTTAGAATCTCAAATAATCTTGAATATTTCATCAAGTTGAGACTTAGTGATTTAAATGCTAGTCCATTACATTGTACTTCAATAGCATATAATATATGCTCGATCATTTTTATATGAATTAACTATCAAGCAGCTAGAATACATAAAAAACCATATCTAAAAAGGTGTAAACCATATTGAGAAAGCTAGTTTTTTTAGTATGATCATAACAATCGATTCCACATTAGAAAATAAAATTATTTTTTGCGTATCGATAATTGAATTGATTTTTTACCACAATAATATAAAATTCAATTTAAAATTTGAGCAACAGACTTCAATAAAGAATAATTTAAGCTTACATGATGTGTATCTATATTTCTTACAATATAAATGCTATAACTTCAATTTGAAATAACAAATTTGATTATTCCACAAATTTTTGAAAATACGATTATATTAAAAAAAAAAAGGTAGTGGGGCTTCCAGGCACTTCGTGCCCTCTAGCCCCAGTCACTTTTCTGTCACTTTTCAGGGAAAAAACATTTTTATTATATATAAAATGAATTTTACAAAACCACCGTTACCCTTCTTTGGAAATAAGAGTAGATGTAAAGATATTCTATTGAGAGAACTTAAGAAACTACCGAATGGTCTAACATTTGTAGATTTGTTCGGTGGAAGTTTCTATATATCCCATTTGTGCCATACCGTATTCCCAGACTCAAAGATTATATGCAATGACTTCGACAACTATATGAACCGTCTCAAACATATACCAGACACAAACAAAATATTGAGTGAGTTGAAAGAAAAGATACCTATAGGTAAGATGGAAAGTATACCATTAGATAAGAAAGATATTGTGAGAGAGGTTTTGAAAAAAGCAGAATATATTGACTGGGATAGTATATCTGCTAGACTATTATATAGTGGTTCTATAAGAGTTCATGACATTGAAACACTTATGTCAAAAGTTTTATATCTTAACTATACAAAGGTTTTCAAAGAGGACATAGAAAAATATACTGAGGGTATAGAGTTTGTGAGATGTCATTGGACAGAGTTGTATGAAAAATATAAAAACAAGGAAAATGTTTTCTTTATAGTAGACCCACCGTTCTATAACACATACGATTTTCAATACCAAGTAGACTGGACTTTGAGAGACTCTTTAGAAACTTTAGACGTTTTACATAACCATCCATGCTTTTACTTTACATCCGATAAAAGTGGTTTGGAAAGTGTCATGAGATGGTTAGAGGACATACATGACTATGATTTTAGATACGATAAGATAGAATATGAGAGAGGTCCTATAAACCGGAAAAAGTGTCATAACAAAGAAATTTTATTGGTAAGTAAATGTGGTTTGAAATAGGACTACTTGTTTTAGGTTTTTTCCATTGTGTCATTTACTTATTTGACGTGGCAGAAAGATATAGAGAATATGAAGATGAACCAATACCAGCAAATGTTCAGCATATGTACTCGTAAGAGATATTTTTATCTAATATTAAATGGACGCACAGAACTTAGCGAATGCACAGCAACCTGGACAACCAAACCCAGAGAATATTCCAAATGAAGTTAGAATACAAACTGCAATGGCAAACTATGGTCAAGTGCCAACAGATGTACAAATGCAAACTGCCATGTCAAATGACGCTGCGTTAGGCTTACCACCATGGTATGCAAATATGAGATGGAAAGAGTTTTATACAAACCCTGAAGTGGGATATAAACAACTCTATGCAGATGACGCGAACACAGGAGTTGACCCAGAATATGTTTTCTACCAGAGGAGAAATAGAATGTATGAGCTCCAGTTAAAAAATGCTATGGAACTCAGAAGGAAACGTAAGAGACTAGGCGGACATTAGATTTTTACATATAGTAAAATGGGTTTCTTCAGTAGTATTGGAAACTTCTTCAGAAGAGTTGGAAGAGGTATATGGAATGGAATAAAAACCGTAGGAAGAGGAATTTGGAACGGAGTCAAAAATATTGGCAAAAGAGTAGGTCAGTTCGTTGGTATTATACCTAAAGACCCTGAACCAGAAGAACAAGCTCCTGTTATACAACAGCCTGAACCTGCACCACAGTCTAGTTGGCAACCAAATCCAACACCTCAACCGTATTAAAATTATATTTTTACCGTTCGATAGTAGTTGTATATGAGACTAAGTTCTAAGTAAAACGCATGGTATAATGGAACTATTCTCTTTCTTCCATCTGTTGTAAACCATACTTGAAAGTCTGAAATACTTCCACTCGGTGGTTCATATAGCTTTGTAGGTTTTTCGTAAAAGTCATTTGCCAAGCATAAAAAAGAGTTTTGTGCACCAGAAAATGAAGCATGAACTATAATAGCATCTGAGTCGAAAACATTTTCATATGTTCCATTAGGGTTTTCGACTTCATAAAAGTCCGGGTGTACTGGATATGCTGCAGGCTGATTTAACATCCTCAAAAATCTATACCATGCCAAGTTGTTATATTTTGTAGAAATATAAACGTCTTCTCCAAGGTCTTCTATTCTATTGATTTTAACAGTTGCATTTTTCCTGTCATATAAAATATCGAGATGGTACTCTCCTTCGTCAATGTTGTACTGTTTTGCATATTCGAGATAGATATCGTTTATTTTTTCTTGAAAAGCTTGAAGAGTTGTTTCTAAGTTTACAAGCAAACTAACTTGTAAAAGTTTTCCCTGTTCAAATTTCTCATACGTACGTTTTTCTTTGTTATAGTATCGAATTTCAAAACCGACCGTAAATGGGAAACCATGTATGGCTTCTGAAATGAACTTCATTCTACGAAAGCCAATAGCTTTTGTGACGGATGGGTCTCTTAGCCATCTTAAGGGGTAGTCAAAACGATAGCCTTCATGCTTTACGGTCTCTGTCTCAAACTTTTGACCGACATTCGTAAAAAGTTCATCTAATGGTTTAGTTGTAGCAACTCTAGAAGTTTCTTTTTCTATTGGAAGCATATTTTATCTAGAATAAAAATGTCGAAAGAAACAGCGTCTATGAGAGAAATACAACACAACCGACAACTCATTGTACAAGCTCTAAATAAGAACACAACAAACTTTTCAAACTATTCTAAGATATCTGAGTCATTGAAAGAAGGAAACTTAAAACTGACATTAAACCCATTGACAGACGAGTTTCTGTTTCAAGACAGTAAGAACCATACTGTTTGTATAAATCCAACAAAAAGAACTTTAAACGAGAAACCTATAGATGAACTTCTTTTGAAAGCAGATGTTGACAACAAAGCTGACAAAGAGTATGTCATTGAAAAAGTTCAAGAAGAACATGACAGAGCAGATGCAACATATGCAACAAAAGAACATACTCATCCTGAACTAGCAGACAAAACATATGTTGACAATAAAATGTCAAGTGAAGTGACAAGAGCTGAAAACGAATATTCTAAAAAGACTCATACACATACCATTGCAAATATTACAAACTTACAAGAAACCTTAAACAGTAAAAGTGACGTTGGACATACACATACATCTTCTGAAATCACAGACTTAAACGTTAGCCTTGAAAAGAAAGCAGATAAGAACCATACACACGATTTCTTCGCAACTGTTGGTATAGAAAATATTGAAGGAACGGTTGAAGGAGCTGGTGGGGATGTATTAGATTGGAAACCTCCTAACTTTCCACAAGGTTTAACATCGGAAGAAGACATAACAACGATGAGATACATTAGATGTAGAAATGTCTATGTCATGGAGGATGAAAACAATGTTAAATTCACTGCTCAAGATTTATATGATAAAAAAGCTGACAAAACAGAGCTTCAAACATTAAAGATTGAAATACTTCAAACACTATATCCTATAGGTTCTATTTACACGTCAATGAACTCTACCAGACCAGAAGTAGTACTTGGTCTCGGAACTTGGACTCAAATAGTCGACAGGTTTTTGTATTGTGCAAACTCTTCAAAGGAAACAGGTGGAAGTAAAACGATTTCAGGTGAAAACTTACCTGCACACAGTCACTACATAGATTTAAGTACATCTCAAGCAGGTTGGCATAAGCATAGATTTTGGGATTGGTCAGCAATGAAAAAAGGTAAAGGATATGATGTTAAAGACAACGTTCAGTTTGCTATAAATTGTTTCTGGGGTAACACACAGGGAGAAGGAAACCATACACATCGCGTTTCAGGGTATACGCAAACAACGGGACAAAGTAAAGACTACATGCCACCTTACATGACAGTTTACGCATGGTATAGAAATGCTTAGTCGTCATTTTCAACTTCTTTAGCATATTCGTCAGGAGTTGTCTTATATTTGTTAGGAACTGTCTTTGAAAGTATACCACCTTGAACCTTAACAAGTTTGAAACGAGGTCTGACAATAGTAGTTTTATCTTCTGCTTGCAGTCTGTACATTTTGCCATGTTTGCCTAAAACTTCATAATATTCTCTTGTATACTTTCTTCTATTTTTACGAACACGAACGTGAGTACCTGTCGAGTTCCCATTGTTGTCATAGTCAATAGTATTTTCATATGGGTCGCGTTTAGGTATTTCTATTTTTACTTTGTCACCTTTCTTAAGTTTGAAGCCTGGCATTCTTTCTTGTTTGTCTCTTTTGACTAAGTTGTTAAATATATAGTCTTTCTCT